TCACATACCCCAACTTGCTCTCCATGAGACACACACACAGGGAGAGAAGCCTGGGGTCTGAGCGCAGGGTCAGACATTTATATGGCACCCCTGGAGCAGCTGGGGTTAAGGGCCTTGCTCAGGGGCCCAGCGGAGTAGGATTCCTCTGCCGGCTGCGGGATTTGAACCAGCAACCTTCCAGCCACAATCGCAGATCCTTAGCCAGAGTGCCACCGCTCCGCCCTATTAACCCATGTGTCTTCAGTGACAGTGAATTGGGCTCCTTCCTATGCAAGAAATGCTCTGAGATCCTTTGGTGCGGAAAGAGCTATATAAATGCATGCAGCTGTCCATTATAATTATTTACAGGTACTTGCATTCTGTCCCTTCTTCATCTGACTTGGTCATAAGAAAAACAATACTTTACACAGAGGTCTGTGGGACTCCTGTGTTAATTTTACACGTAAGCTTGTGTATGACATCTTAACATATTTGTATTTCTATGAATATTGATGGTTTATGTTACTTTATGTCACACTTAACGTCTCTCTTATAGCTCGTTGCTCAGTTCTGCATTCTGTTATTGTTAAGAAACAAAAAAGCAATTCAGTTATATGGAAACAGGTTCAGGTATCAGTTCTTATTTTACCGTAAATGGTCCAACAGGTTTCTCCAGCCCTTGCAGCAGTCTTCTGAGGATGTAATAACTCCAACCTGTCTTTGTATGAAGGCATTGTTCTTTGAACATTTCCACAGGAAAAGGGCTCGCAGAAGGCCGGCTCTCTGTAATCAGAACAGACCCAGTATTAAACCATCCCGCTGGAACATCCAACGCAGAAGGCCTGCACATTTTAAAATTCATTTTCCACGGCTGATCATGCTAGTGCCTCAGGTCTCAATTACTGTGCACTGGTTTCACATGGTCTATCTAATGCTTTACCATAATTCCAGTTCGGCCATGACTGCTCTCTATTGGGAAGTTCACATTTGCAAAGGAGGAAATGTGTTGTGATTTCAGAAGGCACTTTTCCATCATGTTTAAGACTCTTCAGTACAATCCCTTTGAAATGACTCTTCCCTATGACTAACCCAATTCAGAAATTCTCATGCTCGAGATTTTTAACGATTGTCAAATATTGACTATTTTCTGATATACGTAATTTTTGTATTGTTTCTGATGAGCTCATTTTGTACTTTAATTACACTTTGCCCCTTGATTACTGTCAGTACGACTGTCAAAGAGCCTTCTGAGAACTTATGGAACCATTCAGTGATCTCCCTCAGCGCTGCCATTTCTGTGTACAGCTTTGCTCTTATTTCACATTGATGTTTTCTGCATTTTAGGTCTAAATGAATTCAGTCATGTACTGCACCAAGAGTCACTGAATGGTCACTGAAGGGCTGAAGCAAAAACAATGACCCCAGAAAAGGCATCACTGAATGTTCAGCAAACATAATTGCCCTGCTCGCCTACTTAAAATGAATAAATAAGCTCAATTACTTTGCAGCTTCCAAAAAATTGGTGAACTCGATGCAAAGACAGTTAGTACGGATGTTGGTTTGCTTTCCAAAAGAACGAGATGGTGTTATTCATCAATAACAAGATACTATTCATTCCAATGTGGATTCCTAATGCATTTATCACAAAAATTCCTTAAGGTGAATGAAAAAATATATATTTTTGAAAGCACAAAGACCTGAACCTATTAGTATGCATGTATTACATGGTAAAATCTAAAATGTAAGCATTGTGGCAGAAATGGGTGCAACCCAGATTACTTGACTTCCTGTGAACTAGACCAGACATAACTTCGAAGTGAGATGCTGTGGAGAGCCTGGAAAATGAGTGAGGACAGCTGCCTGTCCTCAGTTTCCCTCCTTCGTTCTGAAAGCTGTTACACTTACATAGTGCTGTACCTCCCAGGAGGGTGTTTCCCTGCTGGTCACCCTGGAGTGGAGCCAGAAAGCTCTGCTGTTTATCTCTGGAGTTAGAAGTGTGCATGGGGCAGATTGTGTGTTGAGGGCGCAAAGCACTTCTGTAATGAAAGGCTAAGGAAATAAGATTAAATCACCTTTTGGCACTTTTGTGACACAGTCAGTATTATTGTGCAGCTCCCTGCAACTTCTACAAAAGAAACAGAAGAAATGAAGAAAAGAAGCGATTCTGCATGGATTCAGGCTACAGGATTTTAACATTTCTGCTTCGAAAATTATCCTTTTCGCACAGATGTCAGTGTAGATAACGTGCGCCACATATGATGCAAAAATATAAACATGAAGAAAGAAAAAGCTCCAGAGGTTTCCCTGTGCTCTTCAGTTTGGATTTCTCTTGTAAGTAGTGTGCAGACACAGAGCAGGATTCTCATATTCTGAGTGACTGTGTTAGGGTCCCTCAACCAGAAACGTTCATCCACTCAGGTTAATTTGAGGAGACACAAACCTCCCAACTAATTAACCAAACAATAGTTCCACTTTCCACCACATCTCCCTGAACCAGAGTACTTAAGGGCTGCTCAGTAGATCTGCTCAGTATTGGGTCTTCCAAGAAGAGCTATAGTTCCTGCAGTTACTGGACGCATAACTTTGTGTACCTACGTTCCTGGACTCGGATCTTGGCCTGATGACGACTCTCGGATCACGGTTAACGGGTACGTTTGCTAGTTCTCGACGGACGGCTACTGTATAGGGTCCTACAATACTTCTCATCTTGGCCTGCACAACCTAACAGACTGTTGGCTAAGTTGGCTTAGATCACCAGAAATACTAGAAATGACGGGAGACTTTTTGGCCCATCTTGCCTGTATGGTAGTTTGTAGTTAATCCAAGCCAGACTGAAAGAAATCGGGGTGTTTGGGGGGCGAGTCATTTAGGCAAGTTCACTCAACTCCATCATGTAAGACCACCAATTCACTTACCAGGTTTGGTCAATGTACAATAGAAATTGTAGTGTTTTTCTATTTGTTTCCATATTTTATGTTTCACCCCCTTCCATTAAATGTTACCTTCACACAGAAAAGGTCATCCGTCAATAGAAAAAATAGATTTCTGTTTCGATGAGTCAGCTGGAACTCCTCTGTTATCAGCCATTGAGCTACATTGTGCTGTTTTGTGAAATGACAAGATATTACATATACAGTATACATGTGTACTACATGCATTAAAAAAACAGACCAGAGGACAGTGGCTATATGGTAACCTGATGGCAGGGAAAAGGAGGTTCAAATAAAAGAACAAAGGAAGGGAAGAGACCTTTATTTGTAGAGAATGTTTGCTTCAATGTGGGTGCTGTCTCCTATCACAGACAAACCTTACTGCCAGTGAATAACAAATTGGAAATGGTATAAAAACAGGGAGAGAGACATCAATGTTTAATCTTGGCAGGAGAATTGTTATATCGTTGTAAACAGCCTTTTTTCAGATTTTGTCAGCAACTTGAATAGAAACTATCTGAGAAATGTAGCCCAGAGGTGACATGGATTAGGAATAAAGTGGGTATTTAGGTGATTTAGACCACATGACCTGCTCACATTTTGCATATGGCCTGCTCACAAATTGTCCTTATGCTGTGCAGGACAGCACAAATATAAGCATGTAGTAATGCTAATTATAAATTGTAAATGATTTTTGATTATTTCTGTTCACCCTTGATAATGACTACTGTGTAGTGGTAAGCATCCTTAGAAAATAACTTGTACACACAGGATTCTGCAGGAGCGGCTGCAGTCGTTAGTAGTCTTGTTAAATCAGCTTGGCCTTGTTAACTATCCATTTGAAAGCAGATTAACCTTTTCTGGTTCAGCTGTTTGCTCTGTGTCCTGTCTACTGCCAGTCTCCCGGTGCAGCAGGAAGAGGTCTGTATATAACAGGAGCACAGAGACAGTAAACACCATGTTTGCTTCTGAGTACATGTCTCTTCCTCAACACTGACTCAACCTTTGCTCCAGATGGATTTACTATTAGTATGAATTTCATGCAATGCATTAGACGGCCTAATGAAAACAGGGACATTGGATCAATTTTTCTTATTAACTCTGTAAAAATGTATTTACACTCCTTTCTATCATTTTTTATCAGCAACTTGTTTTGCATGAACAATGCAACCTCGATCACACTGCATCAACAGAACATACTCATCGTTTGAATTATTCATTTATTACTCTAAATGAATACTACAGGACCTCAAGTTAAAAGCTCCCAAACTTACAGCACTGCATTCAGATGAGCTGATGGCATCTCTTGTACAGAGGGCGTGATTTGATATTATTTCACGTTGAAGATTTGGTCATTTTTTCCTAGATGTAAATGAAATCTCTTTCCTTATTGTTGCAAAAAAACATTAAACAGTAGTTGTCTGAAAATATTAGCAGCCCAAAATGAAAACTGAATTTTGAAGTACTGTTGGCAATTTCGAGTGCATACATGATTTAATCCCAATATAAAAATATATATAATTAACATTTTACACATGCCTTTTTTTAGAAGTGAAATCCCCAAACACTTGTTTAAATGACACTGCATACAGTATATCTGCAGGTTAACGTGACACAACTTGATAATAACTTCCAGGACATTCAGTATCATAGTTAACCTTTTAGCGAGCAAGTATTAAGTTCAGGTGGCATCTTCCGAACCATTATACACAATATTTAACTTTGGGTAATTACAGGAATTATAACTTACCTGTGTATCGGTCTCAGGGAAGTAAATTTGCATGTGTGATTAAACAAAGGAACGTGCAGTATGTATAAAGCAGGCCTAAAATGCCCTCAACTTGTCTCTTTCTTGGTGTGCAGGCAAGGTACATGACACGAAAGCCTTGAATGAGGGTGGAACCCTTCCCAGCACTTATTAGTCACCTACTGTACATACCAGCTATCATGCCAAAAATGAGCCTGTGTACTGTAGGTGAATTGTTTTTGAAACCAAGCCTAGAACACACCACTACTGCCTTATCTCAGGTGATCAGATAACATTTAGGCGCTCCACAGAGTCTGGTGTAACAAAGTGACCCCAGACATATCTGGCAGGTAAGCAGACAGCCTTGGAATGTGTCAGAGCTGGTGCATTTATTGGAGAAAGCAGAAGACAGGCTCATGTGTAGCCGGCCAGCCGGGGAGAGCTCGGGAAGATCTTTCGGATCCCCATGCACTTCTCCCTGTCAATGAAGAGGGAGTGGGCTTTGGCAAAGAGCTCCTGCTCCAGGGTAGCTTTGCTGTTGACCAGCTGCTGCAAAGAGTCCCGGGCCTCAGCGAGGTGCAGCTTCAGGCTGGCCACTGTCCCGTTTATACTGTGAATCTCGGTCAGCAGCCTGAAACACAAAACGGCCCCTTTCACAACTGTGAGCCCCCTTGAGCGGAGTTTGTCTACACACGTCCCTCACACATCACCAGCTTCAACCTATAAGGAATGGCAAGATGTTTCGAGTAGATTCAGACCACGTTCTTGTCTCGCTTTGCATCTGAATTAGCTTCCACCTGCTTTTCTGGTTTGCCTGCTACAGGGTGGCCCTGCCTGTGCTGGGCCGCGTTGGCTTACCTCCCTGGGCAAGGTCAGAGGTCAAATGGACGCCATGTACAGTAGGTCCCCAATTGACGTTCTAATGTATTGCATCTGTGTTTGCTCTGATAAACATCAACAGCAACTGCCCAGGTTTAAGTGACTGAATTATGGTCTTTAAAATCTGGAGGCACCATGTTAATTGTGATCATTCATCTCTCTAACACACATAGAGTGGGTGGCTGTACCAGAGCCTCAGTTCAAATTCCATGTTGACATCGTTCACACAAAATACTGGTCAACTAACAATCTATTTTGTCTGTGGGATGAAACATTAAAGAAAAATAAGGGTGTTTGTCATGGTTTTGGGTTTAGCGTTAGACCTGCTTATTATTTTCTCATGTTTTACAATAGCTTTGAGTCAATACAATAGCTTTGAGTTGAAAAGTACCTCTTCCACCCGGTATAGGCGAGTTTGCACCTATCAAGATTATTGTTTAAAACGATTCTGTTTAAGCACGAACAATCCCATGAAGTAGGCCTTTCATAAATCGCAACTCAATGCTGCTATCTGTGAACGTGATACCACATTCCTCTAAAGAAGGAATTCTTTCCCAAGGTCTGATTCTGAATGTTCAGAATTCGAGGAATTCTGATTAGAGTGTTTAGCATGGGAACCGTGTCAAAACAGCACATTGACAGAAAGGGCTTCTGGCAAAGCCCCGCCCACACCAGCACAGACCCTGGCACTGCATGCAGGGGCAAGAAGAACAATGTCACTTACAGGACGTCAGAGGCCACCCGAGTGGTACCAACATTCTTAGAAGAGGAAAAGAATTCCTGCGATTAAAAAGACCTTGTTTTGGAAAATCTGTGCCGCAGGAAGGCAAATATGAATGGAAATATTTACAAAATCTGAATTGTACCTTTAATGATTACGGTTTTACGTTCTCCTCACTCTGACCCTGCTCACAAGGAAGGGGAAGGGGATACCCAACAAAACCGGCAAATGACAAATACAAATACCCGAAGGGATTTGGGCCTGCTTGGGTATTTTTTTTTAATCACATTTTGTGCAGCCACACCAAACCATAGGAAATTCCACTTGTTTTTTTTTTTCCTGGTCATATATTGTGTGCTTCTTCTGACTCACAAAGATCTCCTGGTTGTCTGGTGTCAGCATTGAGAATTTCAGTCCTCATTATAGTATTTTATGCTGTAGTACATGGAGCAAAACAATCGGCCCTCAGCCAAGGGGGAAAACAAAAGTCAACTGATTTCTTCACCTGAGAGGGCCACAGATGTTGTATCATCTGACTTACTTGCTGTGTGGAGGATCCTTGCAGAGCTCAATATTAGGCCTTTTACTCCTCTCCTTCAGCCTGGTCTGAGCCACCTTCAGAGGGGCCTCTTTGTTTCGGATAGCTTCCTCCAGTGCACTTATTGTCCTTTCCGTCTGAAAGACCTCCTGGAGGGTCTGTATGACACGTCCAAGAAAAACATTCTGCTGGATCAACAAATCCCTGTGATGCAATGGAAGACTAAACCTGTGTTGTTGTTTTTTTTTTTGGGGGGGGGTCTTAGTGCGCCATGTACTTGGATGGGCTGCAAATTGGCAAACAATGATCCATTTGGACTGGGCGCAGCATAGTGGAACCAGAACAACAATGAACAAGAAATATCTTCATGGAGTTTGACTGAAACAATGCTTTCTATTGAAATGCTTTAGGGCTAGACAATCCAGTCAATCCACTAGTGCAATAATAAGAATAATAAGTCACAGCAAATGTACATGAAGCAGAAATCACTGTGTTCTGTCACTGTTGTCATGAATTATGCCAAGCATGCAATGGGACTAGAATCTGCAGGCAACATATGCAGAAATACAGAACCCACTGGTGTGCCACATGATTCCCTTTGATTCACTTCTTAGGAAGCAGCCTAGGAGGTTAGGAGCCTGTGGCTCATTCTCATTGACAACTGGAATTGTCAAAGTGTCACTTTGACAAATCATACTTCAATCCCCTCTCAGTGGATCTCTCTATGGGGGCTGTGTCACTTATAGATAAGGTGCATCAAACTATCAGGAAAGACCTGACAGATAAGGACTAAGAAATGGTGGAAGGATAACATAAATGTAATCCTCAAAACTTTGTCAGGAGAGGATGAAACAATGAGGGACCAGTAAGCTTTTGACAGTAAATGTGTGCTGAAGCATTTAAAAGGAACCAGGCTTTTACCCCATTCAGTACAATGAAGAGAGTAAAATACTTTGCAGGTCACCAGCTGTGCCAAACAATCTTTCTATGCTTTAATTTCAATTGTTCCAGGTGGTACTGTACATCTGGATACCATGGAAAATACTTATTTCTCACTTTAAATCTGTAAATCTAACCACCTAACATATTGGAAGGAGTTTTGTCAAAATATAATTTCCATAGTAAATGCAATTTTGAAGTTACTGGAAGAACTCATGACAGCTCCACGGGAAGCCTTCTTAGGTCATTTATAATTCAAAGAAGGTCAGTATTTCCTATTACGATCATTACTGTAATTGACTTAAAGTGAATGCTAAAGCATCCAAAAATGACATTTTAATTCAATACTCAGCCTTCATCAACCATCTCTCATGCTTTCATGTGTCACTATGAATTCTCTCAACTTTAGATTAAGACAAACAGAATATAAACACTGTGAAACTCGATCCTGTGCAACCCATGTGTTTTCCCAGGAATGTGACAATTGCACATTGGAAAACTTTCTAAAAAGGTCATATGTTTGACTTGAGAGAGCACAAGACCTCTCTGCCAGATCCAAAAGCTGCTTTCTCCTAAAAGACATCCACTGTTCATGGCTCTTGTGACAGCGGTTAATGCAATAAGCATACATTTCATAGGACAAAAATCATATTGTTCACCATAGAATAACATGGGATGACTTTAAACATACTTCATGCACATTACTTATATAATTCGCAAACCACTGCACATACGGTAGTAGAAATGATCATGTAGAAAATACGTACAGGCTTGGGGTGCCACAAAACATATTTCATCTGGGCAAAACTAGTAAAAATATACTATGGGATATTTTTCCTCTTACATATAATTTTGCACAACTGTCAGATGTGTTGATTTACCTGAAGAGATGGCAGTGAATTTTATTCTTTAGAGGATAAACCCGCCATCAGACACTCTTGGAAAGTGTCAGAGAGCACAGAGCACGATGCACTTACAGTACCTTTCCCTACGCTGTATCAGTTATAGATCATATTCCAGAAAACTTTGTTTCTGCAGGGTGTGTTTGGGCAAATGAAATCAGACACTCATGAACAACAGAAGTGCACCCAGGGCAGTGTCAGACTGAAGATGTAAATTAGTTGTTTGTATTGCACGAATGCCGTTGGCCTCTGATGTCGTAATATGACACATGGGCCTGTTGCTCCTTGTAAGACCTGACTCTCTCACCTTTGCTAGGTGTGCCTGAAGTTTGTCCTTGGCCTCAGCTGTCTCAGAGATGCAGCTGGCGAAGGCGATGTTCACTCGGTGGTACTGGCTCCACATTTCCCTGGAAGTTACCTCAACCACCCTCTCCACCTCATCTCGCACCTTGGCTGTCGCAGCCCTTTCACTCTGAGACAAAAGGATGCTGTTTTCTGAAAACTTTGCCCACGACTCTGGGACGGAAGCACTACAGAAGCAGAAAGAAAAACACAATTCGATTTAGCCATCACTGGGTTAGGACACAAGACCACAAGAGGCTTTACTAAGAAAAGAGGGGATTTGTCCCATTGAGCTCAGTTGGTTTCTCAGTAACATAATGAATCCCAGCATCTCCTCCAGCTGTTTTTTGGAGGGTCCTGCGGAGCTGGTTTCAATGGAGTGGTGGAGCAGTCAGTTCCAGACCAGACGACCACAAGTGTTTGTGTAAAGATGTCTATCCATTTTCAGTCCTAGATGTACTTCTCCACCTTGTGAGCCTGCATCCCTGTTTCACTGTTGAGTGTGGCAGTAATTCTTTCGGATAACTTTCAGGATTTAAATTTTTGGAATGTAATCGCCTTAGTCGTCTTGTTTTAAGACTACAAGGGATCACTTTTTTTTATTTAAGATGCTTTACAATTAGGAATTACACTACTCTTATTTAAGCTCTTCCTTGAGTAGCTTTTTCTTTTACTGTGTGTGATGTTGCGGCCACAATTAAATGTATTATTACCTCTCCTGACTTTAACTCCGATCTTTTGTTCGAAATATCCCAGTACCCTGCTGGCCTTTTGTGTAACCATCCCAACACAAAACATAAATAGAAACAGGTCGTTACAAATTCTAAAGATCTCAGAAGCTCTTGCAAAACTGAGTTCTGCCATAGCACGGCTTGTAGGTTTTGGAAGATGACGTAGAAAAGCCAGTGTACTCTCTCTCTGGTGTTTAGAAAACGATTAACTATATACCAAGCTTTTTGTTTCACAGTGCCTGCTTTATTTTGCCCAGCTTCATAACCACAATCCACATACTTTATGGTACGAGCCTGGAAACCTACCAAGTAAAGGGATTCACTTGTGAGAAGGTAGAGGTGTGTCATCGGCAAGCATGTGTTTCCCTCAGGGGTCACAAACAGGCTTGCCAGATAAATACAGGTGTCACATTCACCTGCCAAGTCTGAGAGGACGTGCAAACACAAGACTGCTCAAACAGCCTCACACAGGCTCTCTCTCTCCTTTTCTTCCCTCTGGATTTTTAGACACAGCAGTGGTCGGAGCTGCAAACAGTGATTGGGGGGGGGACCTGTCTGGTGTGTTAGACTCGCTGGCAATAGCCCACCATTTGCCTAAAACATTGCCCCTGGCTACACGAGGTTCCAGAGATCTTCTCTGGGAGGAGCTGTCTGTTTCACCTGCTTTTCTATCTTTAAGCTGAACGACTGAATCGCGGTAAATTCAAAATAATCCTCCAGGACTGAGGTCCTAGAGGACAGCTGGCCAGGATCCAGCAGCTCAGAGAATTGCTTCCCGACTGGAACTGACACAACACAGTTGCTTTGTTTCACTGCGTGTGAAAGGGTTGAATCTGGCCACTCCGCCACAGAGAAACACACACACACACACTCCACAGTGGCAGCGCTTAGCGTTAAGAATCATGCCAGTGGCCTGCACTGGAGAGGCTCCTATAAATAGCTTTCAAAAAGCGGTTTTAGAGTGGAACCTTTCGGACGATGGCCAAAATGAACGGGGAGGGTCAGGCACTGTGAACAAGAGGTTGAAAAAAGAAAAGTCTTGAAGCTGAAAAAAGTCCCAAGGGTAGCCTTTTTTTCCCCGTATTTATTTGATACGCAAAGGTATACCAAATCCAAAAGCACTCCACTCCTTCTGTATCATACTATCAAGCCCACTCTCTGACAGTTTGACTGTAAAACATCCATGCAATGTTTTTTGTTGGTTTTTTTTTTTTACAGCTGGAAATAAACACTCTGGTCACAATGAATCATCTGGGACTGGGCCTCCATGTCTGCTGGTAGGCTGCCTCCAGGAGAGAGGTGCAGTCCGCCTCTCTCGAGTTTCATCCTCTTTCTCAGGTACAATGCTCTTCCCTCTCGGTAAGACCGTGCGCAGAGCTAGCAAGACGCTGATCGAACGGAGCCCGGCACTGATTTCAGGAGCTTGGAGACAATCTTGTCATTCACCCGTCCGATTACGAAAGCAGTTTAAAAACTGCTTTCTTCTACACTGGAAATCTTGAGAGATTGCAACAGACCTAGCTATCACAGCGTGGGAACGGCCAGTTCTAGCCCCCTGCACAAAATGCTGCACACTGCAGTTTCCCTGCTGATCTACTATCCATCACGAAGAGCCTTGGCTCCAATCGAGTAAAAGCAGCGCAAATGATAGAGCACAGAGTGTAATCCAGTTTCGGACATCAGGGGAAAGGGTGTGATATTATTTCAACACACTGTGAAGGGGATTCAATTGGCTGCTTCCACTCTTTTAACAGGAATCCAGGATGTTGGGATGATAACATCCTTCATGGAGAAGAAATAGGTGGGTTTTTGTTTTTTGTAAATCTATGGATTAATAAACGCCAATAAACCGATTTTACATACATTTTCGTGCAGTTCTATTCCTTTTAGGCAGCTCTTGAAATGAACACGGCTCGCAATATATACTACAGAAAATCGTGTTCAATGTTTTTGTTTTCCCTCTTAAAATTCGTATTTAAAATAAGCTCCGGGAGAGAGACGAGTCTGTATCATTCGCCGCCTCTTGGTGCTTGCTTGCGAGAATATAGCAACAGCTCCCTCTACTGGACACTTCTACTCCCACACATTTTCCTCTAAATACAGCAACACGACATCCTGGAGGTTCGGCTAAGTTCCAGCCAAGTGGTCAAATTGTGTGTTGAGGTATATAAAGTATATCTAAGAACTCTCAAGACATAATATACCTCTTATATATAGTCTAACAAGCCCCCTTTCCCCATAAAACTGTCTGAGAAACATTTTGCATTAACATAAAAAGATACAATATTTGTTGGTTTTACTTGAAAAACAAACAAAAAAAAATATTTCTTGTGTTTACCAGAGACAACACTGTTGAAAGATAAGTTCGCCTTCTCCTATCTACACCTTGGGTTCAGTGGTATTCCTGGGAGATCACAACAGTGGAGCATTTAGCCTTGCAGAAGGTGAGTTATCCTTGATTTGGACCAGCTAAGAGACACTAACCTGACATCCATTCTGTCCACATCCATGAAGAAAGCTATCCCGCTTGTGAAGTCCATGAGTTTGTGGCATCTGTCCTCAATATGATAGGCTGCGTGTTTATCATCGATGTCCTTCTCCATCACGTGCTGCACTTTCCTGTTGGTCCTAAGCACAAACACAGATGTAAACGCGTGAGGAAGCCTAAAAAAAATCACAAACAACATTGGCGGTCACAGGCTCCCCAGAGGCGAAGATGAGCATTAGTTTCTGGTAGATATACAGTGTGTTGCCAAGATTTCAGGTGCTGTCACTCGTTCATGAAAGTAGAGGGGGAAAACAGCTGCTTTCTTCAGGGTTTAAGGCACAACAAGCCAATCTCCATGCAAGGCAAGTCAGCAGAACAAAATCAAAGATCACTCTTTATTTGGCACAAGAGCAGGGAGAAATCCTCTAATGTATATCAGAGAAATTAAACCTAGCAGCAGAACTGGTAGCAATGCCTTCAGGATCTCTTCATCACTTACTCCAGCTGCTTCATTGTTTTGTCGATGAGCCTCTGTATCTGCTCCTGACAGGATGCGATCACTGAAACCTCCTGTTTGCAAAGGCAAAGGCAAAAAATCATAATAAGTATTAAAGCACTGTTTCTTCTAATCCTGTAGTAAATAATGGGTTAACTGGGTTAATGGGAATGAATGATGAATACATAATAATACTTTCTGTGTTCAAATTCGGCTGTTGCCAGTAATACAGTCTTGATTTTTGAAAAAATGTTGACCACTGTTTTATGTTACCGTACAGCATATCTGCCCATTGAAACCACCCAAGTGTTCTCCGAAATGTGACAGACATTCTGTTGGCACAGTTGTTATCCAGAAAAAAACAAACAGTAATTAAACTTAGCATCTTTCAACAAGTTAATATAGCTTAGCTGTTCTTGTAGAAACTGGCATTAGTGTGATTAATGAGCAGCAGCACCTGCACAGTAAGCAGAATAATAAAAAAAATATGTATTTTTTTTTCAGAATGACTGAGGTTTGTGTTTCAACAAATTTTGGAATCTGTCAGCAGTTTTCAGGTGGGCATTTAACCACCCAGTTCAGTTCATTAACTTTATGGGAAACATAATTTGAGAAGCCCAGAAGTAGAGTAATGCACAAAAAGACTGAATTTTCTTTCAGCTTAATGGTGTTTCAATTAATGACTTTCGAATCCACACAGACCAAGTAAACAACCATATAAAAACAAGTAAACTTGCTCAATTAAACCAGCTTTACAAAGTACGTACCTGGACTAGCTCTTTTTCCACGGTGTCAGTAATCAGCTCATTACCTAGCTTCTTCTGTCTGTGGTACAAGCACTCCTTAGCCATCTGGAGGGGAAAATGGAAATCGCGCTGGGAGAAAGTCGTAAGCTGTTGCTGATGAGTCGTTAAATTAAAATTTAGTCCTAAACACTTCCGAAGAATAAAGCGTTAATATACTGTAGGTTTTATTTAAAAAAAAAAGACTAGTAGAAGCGACTTACAGTAATATGTAACTAGCAGAGTTACATACGAAACATTGTAAAACTGGACTTTTTTAATTCTGCAGGAATACTTGTTTCTCCCGAGTTATTTAACTATTTTTATATTTCTTTCATATGATATACGTGCATAAGAAAGTTAAAACCTCTTTTAGGAGCAAGATCGTTTTTTTACGGAGCAAATTGTAGGAAGCGCAGGGACAGAGCTGGTGATGTTGTCACGAAGGGGGGGTAATTAATGTACCTGCTTAGGCCCTTCAGTCACTGATAAGGCTTTTTCCAGCCGGGTCTTAACCCCCTTCAGCATCTCCGAGTCTCTGACCAGCTGCTCCACCTCATAGCTAAGCTCGTTGGTCCAGAAAGCGATGTCGGTCATCCTCTCCCCGATCCGTCTGCTGGTTTCGGACTGAGCTTTCCTGGTGAGCTGGTCCTGCACCTGGATCAGCCTGGAGGTCTCCGCTCTCATTTTCTCCGCCTGCCGACGACTGGCCTCTGACTGCCTGAGATGGGCCGTGTTGGCTCGGCGCCATTCCTCGGGAGTGGTTGGTGCTGCATTGGACGGTGCCAGTGGGGGCATCTTCGTGTCATCTCCACTGGGGCCATCAGCGTCGTTTTGCTCACCAAAGGATATTTTATAACGTGTTTTTGGTTTCCAGTCAAGATTCAAATGATGGTACACCGGCTGAGGCCTGGCGAAGCACTTGTAGCTGTCCTTCATGGTGCTAAGATTGGGCAGAACGCGGCCAACCGGTGGAGCCGGGCGAAAATATGCACATGACTGGGTGGATCCAAAGAAATCCATGCAATACTGTCACAGCAACGAGCTGCGATAAAGTGGTGGGATTTTATGCCAGAGACCTTATATATATATTTTTATTCTTTTTCTGATTCGCCTGCTCACAGCAAATGTGCCTTATGTGTGAAGGTGTGGGTGTAATGTCAAATGTCGCCTGTGACAGGGCAGCCGACGTCAGTCAGTCCTGTCCAGGGTTGACTGAAACATTGTGATGCGCCGCCGCAGTAGTCACAGGTTCACGATTGATTTCCCTGACCTTATACGTGTATCTAGCTTTGACGTATTAAACCTCTACTCGCAGCACTTTGTAATTGGTTTATAAATCACCAGTATTTTATTTTTAAAATGCAGTGTTTACCAACGTATTTACCACCATTTTATCAGCCCCCAAAATACACTGTAAAACTGAACCTATAAGTTAAAAACTGCAGTGCACTAGGATAGCCTTCTTCGATTCGCGCATCACCTTACAACTGAACTCTAAAGTGACTCTGAAGTTACTAGAGGAACCACTAGCAATGAAACCGGCCACACACAAGAGTCTTGTTTTTATTATCATTGCTCCTTCTGTTACGCCAGTCTAAAAAATGTTTTGGGCATGAATTGAACAGCTGCTACAGAGATTTAAGGAAAGTGGATAGACTCTCCACGGTGGGGGGGGGGGGATTTAAAAAAGCGGAACCTTCGTGGTAAGGTAAGGGGAATGTTTTTCTTTCCGGACTGAGAACAGGAAGTTGGGAGTTGGGGAATAAAAAAATGGAGGACGTTCCGAGTGGAGCGCCGCAACGTGAGTTTTAGTTTTTGAAACTGTTGTCTTTAACTTGTTTTATTTAGTAACACGTTTCAAACTACAATTTAACGACTATAGAACTGCCATTAGTGGGACGTATCTCCGAGTTAATTAATAACGGTGTTATGGTGCAGAGTTTCATTGATGGAATTAATTGCATCCAGTGACAGTACTGTACACAGAAGTGTTTGCATGTTCCTGTGTTTTTGTTATTAAAATGAAGGTAAAGCAGACAGGGAAATGATCAAGATGGCGGACAAAAGAAAGTTTCTTATTCAGATGTTGCTCGGCGTTAAAGAACGAAATGTTAACAACATTAAACAATAAAAAGTCATGTAGAATGGTGTTATATATTAAAAGGGAAAGCATACAAAATTGTGTTCATCAGTTAGAAGTGACAGCCAGGTACGACAAGAATGCATTAAAGTTAGGTGGTATTGAATTGGGTTCAAACTGTCAATCTTTTGAGAAAACCAATGTAGAACAGAAATGGATAAATTAGTATGGTGCTGTAAGAAATACACCATGGTTAGCAGAGGTAGGTCTTCTAAAGGGACATATTAGAAAAAATATCTGGTATGTTTAAAATCTGAGTACTTATTATTTTAAACTTTGCATTCTTTAGTTTTGGCATGCCTGTATGCCTATATGAGTTGCCCAATCCAGTGTTTTGCTTTGTTAAATTATTTTCAATGTTTTATACTGCAGATTGCCCTGGCACCAGCAGTGACCAGGCAGGAAAGAGCTCTGCCTGTCAGGGGTGTCCTAACCAAGCAATATGTGCCTCAGGAATGACCAAGGCCCCTGATCCTGGTATGTGCCATTCTTGTGGAATTAATTTTAAAAGCACCTGTCTTAAATCATCAAGAAAATATCCATGTAGTAACGTTCACATCAGTTTTTAAAAGTAAGTGAAAGTCACTGTATTCCTGTGATAGCACAATGACAAAGAGACCTTCACTGAAAAGTTGTGCTCAGAAAGAAAATTTTTAACTTTTAACAGCAATAAGAGAGTAAAAGTGATCCTTTTACATGTATGGTTAATGTATACACTGTATTGTTTTTGCTGTCTTGTTTACTTAACTCATGTTACATGGCATGTGCTGTGTTGGCAAAGTGGAGCCTGCAAAAAAATTCTTTTTCTTTCTTCTCAGAGATTGCAGATTTTAATTTTAATTTAATTTTTATAACTTGCAGCTGTAGAAGAAATCCGGCAGAAAATGTCTACTGTTAAACACAAAATCCTGGTCCTGTCAGGCAAGGGAGGGGTGGGGAAGAGTACCTTCAGCGCACACCTTGCTCATGGCTTGGCCAGTGATGGATCCACAGAGGTAATACTGTGTGTTGTGCCTATAGGGGAAACTTGACATATTCTAATATGTTTCTGATATTAAAAAAAAAACTTTCTCTCAAGTTGTTTTTTTCCTACATGATAAGAAAAATCTTGCTGTAACTTTTCTTTTATTGAAAATATTCTGTTACATTTTAGTCTGTTAAGTTTCTGATACAAAAACAAAGATCAGTTACAAATTACCACGCTACAGGAACTAAATTGCATTTAAACGAGATACTTTTGTGTTAAAATAAGGTAATTACAATAAATGAGATAGTGCTGCTAACACATCACCAGCAACGGGAGTCTATTCATAAATGTATTACTCTGTTGACTACTGCCTGTGTGCCGAATTGTTTTTCATTTTTCTGGCATGCCCATATCTGTTTACACTCATGTCTGTGCAAACTGACACAGCAATACTGTTTATTTTCCCTCATATGACATGTTTCCTGCATTTTGCTGTGTAATTGGAAATTCAAATTCAATTTTATCAAAATCAGTTTTCAGTGGCTTAAAAATTCAATGATCCCCCAACAATTACAGTAACAGCAAACCAACAATAGGTATAAGACATGCTGTCATTGTGAATGTATGCCGTTCAGTGTTTAAAGATTAAGCAAAAATCTGTGTACAGTTCATGTTTCTGCAGTTTCACATGTAGAATAGAATACATTTGGAAAGCTTTTCACAGAAATGGTGAAAAATGCATGTGTTGAACCTAGGAATGCTAAATCATAGTATGTTCTACTTCATGTACAAAAAAGACATTACACATGCTCCTGTAGATTAACTCATTTGCACGAAGAGGAGTGTGATGATATTCTTCTGTTGTTAAAAACAGTGCTACTTTCCATGGGACAATTTTATCCCACGGTAATTTTGTTTACAGTTTTATTTATCCCATTTTAACACAATGTTATTTCATGTGCGCTCAAAATGTATCTCGTTTTAACATAAAAATATGTTTTCTTTGTGGTGCTAATAACCTTCCTTATATTGGATTAGAACGTGTAAGAATTCCATTGATATTTGGCTGTGTAAGGTACACAGTTGATATGTTGTTCCACTGATAATAAAAGAAAGGTCACAAGTGAGAGGAGGCTGTTTGGCCTGTAAAACCCACTTGGTGGATAGAGGTTAATTGATCCAAGGTCTCCTCCAGCCATTTCTTGTAATAAACCGGGGTATTGACTTCAAGAACATGGCTTGGTAGCTTATTCCATATCCTACAATCCTTTTGGGGAAAAAGCAAAACCCCTCAGTAATCAAAAAAGATGCTTTACCCTGAGCTATTCATGTTAAAGAGCTGCATTGTTTTTCTTTGTTATCTAGAGTTAGCAAGATGAATGTTTATTGGTTTTATTTTGTCCTGGAATTCTGTCATTGTGACAGTTTTGTGGTCTTGAAGATAGAAAATTGAACTTGGTACCAGATAGTTTCTACAAGTTTCCTAGGTAAAATATTGTTTGATTTCCCAGCCATGTAAACCACACGGCCGTGGAGCCATGTGAGCACACCCTCACACCTAAAGAAGGCTCCGCAGCCGAAACGCTGTGTTTTCTTTCATCTCTTTTCAGCATGGAATGAACCTATTACTTGATACTTGACACATATAAAATGGTTTTTTTTTTTACATTTGTAGTGGTTCTCATCCAAATCTGTGACATATGCTGACATTTCCCTAAAATCTTGGTAAATGTGTCACAGAATGACCCAGTAATACTCCTACTAAATAATAATAACAATAATTAAAGATGCTTTTACCATTTTGCTGTGGGTGGGCAACACCTCAGGGTCACATGCAGCGAGCCATTCCTTTAGTGTCCTGTGAAGTACTCACACTTGAGCTTCTTGCAATGACAGTGGTGCCTCCTCACCATTGCTTATTCAATACATGGTGGCAGGGGAGTCTATCCTGGTAAGTAATGGCTGCAAGGCCATCACAGAGCACACATAGACACAAACACGCACACACACTCACTCCAGGGCCAGTTTTCCCAGAAGCCAATTAACCAGCGGTATGTCTTTTCAACTGGGTGAGGAAACCCAGAGGAAACCGGGCGAATAGAAGCTGAAGAATGTAGACATGTTGTAAAAATTACTGAAATGGTGCAAAGTGTAATTGAATCAGGTTTTAACGTTTCTGAAAATACTGATGCCATAGTCGCGTGCAGAAAGGGTTTTCGCCAGCCTCATAACCAGATCTGTTACACAGCAGGCTGTCAGCTCGTAGTGGTCGCGGTTTGAGTCATGACATTTTATTTGCAATGGATCGTCTTCATTTAACAAGTGCCTCAAAGCAGTCTGGCCTTGCTCTTTGTTAAAGATGGCTGAACAGTGGAGTTGTCAGTATATTTGAAATCTTTAAAGCTAATGCTTCTGCCAGCTTTATAATGACCAAGGGCTTGCAAATGTATGCATGTCTGGATGATTTATGTGATTTCACAATGCTGATAATAGGCGATCATAGAAATTTCTGGTATGTGGTTCTGTCTTTTAAGGTTTTTTGCAGATTTTGATATTTCTCGGCTTTGTTTCAGCCTCTTGTGTCTAGGATTGGTTTCGGATTATATTTAGGCAGCTGCCTCCTGTGATTTAATAGGGAAGGCTGCATCTATATACACTTGTGTTCCAAGGGTATGAAACACAAAGGACGAGCAGTTCACATTTGAATAATCAAAGTACATGTGATTGTATTAGCAAAAACAATCTTCTGGCTACATTATTTTCAGGGCTAGCGTTTGTCCCCATAACAGATATAGTCATTTTGGCAAAATCTCTTGTGAATATAAGATATTCTGTTGACAGAATATTTTGGCTTGGGGATTCCTGATCCACTATTTAATTACTGTATCCCCCTAGTTGGACAAGAGTAGAAAATAGCGTTTTGTTGGCCAAATCCTAATTGCCACATAGCGGAAGGGAAGTGAAAAGGGAAAGTTTGTTTGTTTTTTTTCCAAATCAGAATTTCCTGCTGTTAAAAGTGGTGAAAGCAATAACCTTCTTAAACAGTTCATTTGAGCTGAACTTGTTATAAACTCTCGATGCTTTTCAGAGCACATATCCTGCCCATCTTATAGAGTGCGCTTGAGAGGTTAAGCCTGGTCCTTATCAGACGCAAGGACTTATTGAAAATCCTGCAGTCCTGTGCCAACAGGGGAACATCTTGGCACTTTTTACATAGCACATATGCACTGGCTTAATACTTTGTTTTCTTTGCAGGCATAATAATGCAAGGTTAGTTTACCTGATATTTTTTATAAAAAGGGTGTTTTCTGCAGCTTGGAGGCTCTGTACTTAGATCAGTCTTCTTAAACCTATAGCCACAGTTATTGCACAGTTCATGGAGGAGGATAAATTGAGTTCATTAGGATGGTAAGGAATCCTTAAGTGATGGTAAGGATTTTCTTTTATTTTTTTCTCCAAAGTTTCAAACTGGTCCTGATTAAACTCTTTATAACTGAAACTCCAGAAATACAATGAAAGGCAGGACAATTGAGAAAAACTGTGGATCTTAGCCTCAATTAGTCTCCAGAAACCCCAAGTTTCCTATGGCTCAAAATCACCTGTACTGTATGTACAGCATTCCCATCTAAGGGTTTATGATAAAACATCCCTCATTTCCCCAGACTGCAACTGGGAAAATACTGTCTGACACAGAAATAGCTTAGTTGTAAGACAGCCTACAGTACAGCTAACTTTGTAGTACCAGTGTCAGTTCTGCTGAAACTGCCCAACATTGTTAGAGCTTCATCTGTCTCTAGGAAGTACTCATGTAGCACGTTCAATAATTCTTTTTCATCTTCTAACAGTTTTAGGTGCCACTGCATAACCCAAGATGGCTTCTTCATCTTTGTCGTATTACGTCTTATTTCACATTCCTTCATGAAATAATTGTCTAGGTGGTTCAGTTTTTTTTTCAGGAATCCGTTGGCATCAGGATTCAAATTTCCAAATGGTTTCATCTCTGCTGAAATTGAGCAAAACATTTAATTCATTTCAAACCGCTTCTGCTAAGAAACGTTTGAAACCTGATGTATATAATCATGGGTCGTTGCTGGATTGTTGCTGTGAAAAAAGTTTCTTTATCTTTCATCTTTTCCTGTTAACTCAGGGGTGAGTTTAATTACTGTAGTAGCAGTTATCATCTTTGCTTCCCCCTAGTGGTCAATTGAATGGTGAATTGAAATGATAGAAAAGATTTTTGGAAGCGTTTTACACACATTTTGTTATTTTTTTATTGGTGTGATAACATTTGGATTATTTTTCTTTTTAATCTATGTGTCATTGTAGTTAAAGGTTTGTATAATTTATTTAATCTTTTATATGAATATTCACATTTTGTTAGCTAAAATGTATAGTTTTTCTTCTTCAATACAATGTTTCCAATAATGCCTTATTATTTGCATCATTGGTGAAGGCACAGATAATTCTTTTATATTATTTCTTGGATTTCTGCTCCATCTTCCATCTACTTACAGTTCTTATTTTATTTATTTAGTTTTTATCTCCTTCAAGCACATATTCAGACAGCGGGGTTTTTTTTTCTCTTTGTTGCACGTGTCAAACATATCAGGATGATAAGTCGATGTTGGAAGTCAAAAGTAATTTCCTTTTGTTTATTTTCCTCAAAGCCTTTTGTAAACACAATTTCAAGCAAAATGCCTGGCATAATATGGGTTTTGTTTTTATCAGGGCTTGTTTGTGATCTCCACAAGCTTGGCGTTATACTGTGCCACAAGAACCTTATCTAAAAAGCAGTGGTCAGCAATCATTTTCTTAAAGAAATACATGTAATCATTACAAAACCATTAAAACATGACTGATAAGAAATTAAGCTTTTAAAATGTATTGGCAAAGTAGAATAGACTGTAGTGTACACATTCCCTCTGAGAGTATATAGAGAGCAGTGTATGTCACTGGATGTTTAACTTAAATTTCCACTGTTTGATAATCAAGGTACCACAAGGTACCATATGAAATGCAAGGACACCAACACCAAGACTGAAAACACAGTAGATACTGAATGCTGACCTTGAACAGCTCTTTCAAGTAGACCCACCTTTTTACAAAAACAGCTGCGTTGTTTCATCCCTCTGGGAATAAAGAGCTGGAGCAGAAAAACATCTTTGAAACGTCAGATATGTGGTTGTGTCTTCCAGCTGTTTAACCCCTTCAGGAGGCTGTAGCCCTTGGTGCAGTTCTTACAAAACTGTCTGTGTTGCTGTTTCATATCACAGTGTTTCGTTTCCAGTTCCAGTTGCATTCACAGTTCCTTTAGAAAAATCAATCACCATTCATGGATCCAACTCTAACTCTAGTTACAGTTCCTTTTACCGCAGTGGCTATGTATTATATATGTATATGCATTGCAAAGGGATTAAAAGAGAATAAGAACTGGAGATGTGAATTGGCTTTAAAAGAGAACTGGAAAGGATCTGGAATAGAAGAACAGCAATAGCTGAATCCAATGGTCACTGGTCCATTGTTTTTCTTTTTCTTTTAGTATCCAGATTTTTAATGGGGAAGCGGGCACTGGAAAATAAAAGCCTGTGTTGTATTTCATGTTAGAAATGCATTGCTCAGTCAAAAAGAGGCCTGTGGTGTTCACAGGGAAATGGGAACATAAGAGAACATAAGTCAGGTTACAACGCAGAGAGAAGCCAGTTGGCTCACCTAGCCTATTTGTTGTAGTTAGTAGCCAATTGATCCAAGGATCTCAATTGGCCTTGATGGATGCCCCCAACATTTGCAGCTGTTAAAACAAGACACTGAAAGCCCAAATTTCACAAGGGCCCTGCTTCCCACAGGGCTGTAGCATGGAGCTGCAGATTGTGCCCAGAATACCGGCATCTTGCATCAGCTGTAATGGCACCATTCCACAGTGAAGTGGTTTCGGCATGGTTTTGCTAGAATGCATCTTTTATATTTCTTGTCTGAGAGCTGTGGATTTGCATTGGGTGTTAACACCCAACACCAATCATTCAGAACACATGAGAGAAGATAAACCGTGAGCCTAGCAGTTGGGCCGGTTTACTGTTCATTATGGTCTGACACTTCCAAAGAAGGTGACAGGGAGGTGGGATTATTATCAGACAATACCTGAGTCCCTCCAGGCTCCCTGTGCAGGTTTAGTAAGTACAGGTTGGCAGGACAAGGGGAGCCACTAGGCTTGTATGAGGAAGGACATTCTGCAGAGCTGTGAAACCTTATCTCCAACAATACATTTCGCTTGATGACAAAAGTAACAAAGTCCATTACAAAACAAGATCTTTGGAACAGAAATTGTAGGGAAATATAAATTTTGCCGTAAAGGTTGAGTAGTGCTTATTTAACAGGTAGTCCATTAGTGTCTCTTTTAATTGTAGACAGTAGAGTTCTGCATCCTCCTGCAGGGTGATGACTGGTCACTCTGGCTTCCCCCCGACTGTGTGCAAGATTAATACAGCAGCACTGGCACTGTGGGAGGATTTGCTGGTTTAAAACCAGACATTTCCCAGCAGTAGGATGCGGCCTTCAGATTACGCTGAAGCCTGATGGCTTCTAAGCTGGAATTCTTTACAGCAAACTCATTATTTTCTCACTACCAGACTGTGAGTTGCTTCGCCACTCTGCAGTGCGATATCTACAGTGTTTGGTCTATAAAAAGACTAAAATTTGTGGTACTGTACATATCCTTAAAAATGTGAACAGTAAAATATTAGCTACACACATTCAAATGAAGGCTTTGAAACCCTCCCCACATAACATTTTCAGGTCCGCTGCAGTGATTACAGCTCACACTGGTAATAAATAAAATGTTCCCCTTTGGATGAACTCACTGCATTTTCCTGCTCAACAGTCAGAGCACTTTCCAGACAGAAATCTGCGCAGCTCCAGCTTTGTGAATGGTGTCCTGACCACCTCCATGTCTTTTAAATTGATTTTGTTCAGCCCATGTAAGAACGGAGCCAGGTTGATGATCAGTAGTTTGCGGTGTTTTCTGTGTTTGCAGACAGACAAATGAGAGAGTTAAGAGTATGTTTTGTTGTGTTATGTTGATTGTGATTTGTACTACTGATGGATGCCAAGGTGGACTGGACAACTTGTCTTGTGTATCAAAAGGTCTTTTTTGAGAAATTATATTATAATGTGTTTTTGCTTTCCCCTCCTGTTTTTAAGTGTCTTCTGCAGTTGTTTGGCATGGAGTTGGGAGCTGGATTATGGAATTTTAAGTGAGGTCATTGATCCTCTAGACTTTGAGTGTTCTGTTTGAAACACTTTTTAAAATAATGTTTGTTTTAGAGCAGGGTCTTTGATTGTGTTCACAGCTTTTTAAACTGTGTTAAACTCCAACGTTGTTCATTCCAGCATTAATGGAAGCTACTAGAAAAATATCACCTTTGTACTCAACCAAGTTAAATAAAATTCAGTTGGTGATGAGCTGAATCCTTTTATTTCCATTTTTATTAATGCTCTTTCCATGTGATTCAAAACAAGGAGTTTTAAATTTAACTAAATTTAAAATCTTGTTTTTACGAAAGTGGGCTCCTTTGAAATGTAAGACCAAACACAGATGTGGTGTATTCTGTTTGAAGACTGCAAAAAATTCCTTTAAATAGGAATCGGTAACCAGTTTAGAAATCCTTAAATACTGTTTTTTTATTGTGCTGTATAGAGGTCTGTATCATAATTTGAACATACAGACAGCTTTCTGCATGTCTGTACCAAACTCCCAAACTCTCTCAAGAGCAAATACTAATTCTTGAAACTCTTTAAGAAGGTCATGTGCTTGGTTTATGTACCTATCTTAAGGTCCTATTTGGTACTTGATGAGCTGTATTTAACTGCTGGATTCAGTTTTGAGAAACTCAGATCAGAGGGTAAACTTCAGTTAAAACAATGTGGAGAAGTTTTTGACCTTTTGCTGTTTGATGTGATTTCATAAAAAAGGTTATATCTCTGCCAAAACAATTGTACTGCTGGCAGACAGAGCTAAGACTTCCTCTGCAGATTTCTGCTAAAATCCAGGGTGTGGTTCAGTTGCTCAGTTCCCCAGACATATGTAGAAGTTGAATTTACTTCAGATAAGTCTTAGTTCCTTGAATTTAACAATGAACTTAAGTACATACAGTAACATTTGGAGGGCTGAAAATGAGAGAAGGCTATTTAGCCTGGAATGCTCCTTAGTTTAATTTCAGCTTTATCCTCAGGTCTTTGTATTGTATGTGTTGAAAAGGTGGGATAGTGGATTGCATTTTACCTCTTTGCCCACAATACAGTTTATATTGTTTTAATCAACGGAGAGAATCAGTGATATTCTCACATATACAAACATATGGTTTCACCTCGTATACAGTACTTTAGATCCTCTGAACAGAGCATTCAGCAATTGTTGTTAATAATTTTCCCTTCAGATTAATTTTTCAAATAAGCAGTCAGTGCTGGCTGGAATATTTCTGGTTATGGAGTACAGCTGGGGAGCCCAATCTATAGCAAAAGACAACCTATGTATACTTTTCTGGGTTACTTATGACTATAAAATTCCCAGGGTTATCACAGACAGTTTTATAAAAAAAGCCCACAAATCTTCACAAACCTATTGATGTTTTAAACTTACAGTACCCTATAAATTTGATTTCTGACAGGTATTCCGCAGTATTTTGACACATTGTTCATTAAAATGTTTTATTGCGCAACTATTCAGTTATTACATTCTGTATTTATCTGTCATGTTTATGGCAGTTCCAATTACATGTTTCTAAATTTCATGTGAGTAAAGAGCTGTGATGTTGGGAGATAAAAAGACCAAAATAATCAGCCATAAGCTCATACAGAAATCCTTGGTATAGAAATGCAAAAGAAATGTTGTCAAGCTGATTTGAGTTTGGAACATTTTGAACAAGTTGTCTGCATACACTTGTACAATGTGTTACTGAGAGAGGCTGACAGCATTTCTGTAGCGTGGGCTCAAAGCAGGAGCCTGACAACTGCTAGGATTTAGCCATTGGTGACATAATTCAGTTCAATTCAAGGTGCTTTATTAGCATGACCGATGGGTACAATCAGGGTTGCCAACGCAAATAAAAATAAAATGAACATGAAACAAAACAAAAAATAAAAATAAAATAAAATCTACAGACATTTACAACTAAGACATATCTTAAAATATTTACCTATACTGTAAACATATGGAGCATTATTGGGAGACAGAATCACTGTCCCTCAAGCCATGACAGGAGATCACATACTGGGCTGCCAGTTCAACTGAGTTCCCTCCTCCCTCTCCCGCTAGGATTGGGACCCATTGTGTTTCTGGCAGGTGTGGGAACTCTGGGATTAGATTTCTGAGTCTGAGTGACACTCTGATAGTATGTAAGGGGAGAGTGCCCTCTGCTGTCATTTTTTAGATGCTGCACTGTGTTTGACACAGTGCTTATTGGGAAAACTACTGCTGTTAATAAGTGAATTCTTTACATTTATATAGAACTTTTCTGGACACTCCACTTAAACTACTTTACAGGTAATGGGGACTCTCCTCCTCATTAGTGGAGTATCCAAACCAAAAACATCATTTGCAGTATCCAATGAAGTCTGTAGGTAGTGTACATCCCGCAGTATGTATGCAGTGCTGTTAGCTCCTAAAGTGTACAGTAGGTGTAGTTGTAATAGACTTACTGTAGAACACCGGATAGTTTTAACTTGAATACTTACACAATGTCTTAGTCGAGAAAAAAGTGGCCGTTATATGTGAAGTTAGTATGCAAAACACAGAAAATAACATTTCCAGTTGGGAGTTATTTACTTGTTGTGTTTGATGGTTTTTCTGTCCTGTCATTTTGTGTGTCTAACAGGTTGCTCTGCTTGATGTTGACATCTGTGGGCCATCCATTCCAAAAATCATGGGCCTTGAAGGAGAACAAGTAAGCATTGAACTTATATATAAAAAAAAATGAAAATTGTGTGAATGAGAGAAAGTGTTTGTTGAGGACAATACATGCCTATTAATTTGGGAGTTGAGTGATAGCAAAAACTCAGTTCTAACCAGACTGGAAACCAGATGGATATGTTTAAAAACAGTACTCATTTGTTCTCTTTGAATAGTGGTTTTGGTTGTTATGTTTTCACCACACCATTATTGAATTACGTGGCTGAACTAGGGAGTGTAGAAAAGGGGACTACATCTCCAAAAGTGTATGCCAGGTCCTTACTTCCTGTAATTGCAAGTATCTGCACTAGCCTACTATAAGGAAACTGGTTTCCAACCAACTTCTTGGACAAGTAGGAATCAGAAATGAAGTCACCCAAGTTGATCTAAGTGGCTTAATAGAAGACACTACTATCATAAAGGTTACAACAGGACAACAGTATTATTAGAACCAAGAAGGTTGGGTTTCCTGTGATGTCACCATCAGCAATGGCTGATTAATTTTCTCGTTCTTTCGGTGATTTTAAAAAATACCCAACAACCATTTCAGAACTCTAAATAATACCTTTTAAAACAGATACTAAGTGTTGGGTGATGAAGGAAAAACGGGGCAAAGCACGTGGACACACCCAAAGCTATCTGAGAAAGGAAACTGAAGAGGAACAGGAAGACCGAAGTAGTTCTCGTCCGCTCAGCGGGACCATTCTGAGTCCCCAGTCAGCCTAAAAAAAATCTTTACTGAACTGATAGACCTCAGAAGGGACATACATTTAAAAAATGATGAGATTTTACTGAAGAAGTGAACAGAACAAATAGAAGGACAAACGAGGTGGAGGAGCGCATTGTGCAAACCGAGGCGAAGGGTGAAAAAACAGGCGAGGGGCTTTTACACCTGCCCCGGAGGCAGAACCTGCTAGAGGCCAAACTTGCAAACCTGGAGGCAGAACCTGTGGATCGACGAGGTCCCGGAGGACCCCCCCCCCCGACTATACCTTGGAGATTGAAAGGGCTCACAGAGCCCTGGGGCCTGACCAAGATCTACTGTCACCAGGTCTCTGAGCTTCCTCTAAAGAGGAAATTTTGACTAAAGCATGGGGGGGAAAAGGAGGTGTTTTATGACAACAGAAGGATTAACTTTGATCACGATAATCAGAAACAGATGGAATGCAAAGAATTTTAATGAATGGGATACATTGATTTCAAGATGGAAAAGAGCCAAGGGTTAAATTTGAAACACTGCAATTCACCAAGAAGAAGGTTTAGCCTTGCCGTTAGGTATCCAATCTGTTGGTGTGATCAAGATTATAGTGCAAAATGGAAACAGATGGAGTCTCTGATTATAGGTGAATTTCCAGTACAGACAGTTCTGTCAGAAGCTATATATATAACAGCTATACCGTGAGTAATAGTTTCAATTAAAATGTGGTTAAAAATAATAAGAACCTATAACTTGGAAACAGATAATAACATATTAAGGTGGATATTTTATGATTCAGATTTCCCTTCAGGAATGTTGTAAAATCTGGACTGAGAGGAATCACAGCAATATATTTCTTGATGAAACAGAATAACCTGAAAAGCTTATTGACAACTGATTCTGGAAAGAAATCTTCTACAGATCTTCTACTTATCCTCCGGATAAGGCTCTATGTAAATACTTGGGTAAAACGACCAAATACAGAGCAAGGTAATAAATCGCTTGCTCATTTTAGAGCTTCGTACCAGCAAAGCAACTGGGTGAAAATAATATCAAGACTTTATAATAACATTGCAGATATGAAAAAAGATTCAACAGAATATATTAGTGGGAAAAAGACAATGATAAAACAGTTTCTGCAGAACAGTGGAAGAACATATGCAGTTTTGAACAACTCTCCACCAGTTCACAAATTTGGAGACATTTCTGTTGGGAAAAATTTGACTTTTTTTTTTTAATCAGTCCCAAAGTTCAAGCTTCACAAAAAGGAAGCAATGTTGGCGGTTATGTGGCGAGCAAGTTATTCACACACATTCTGGCCGTGCCCGATTGTTACTTATTTGTTCGATTGTTGGTTATTTGTTGTGTTTTTGCTGATTATATTTCTAGATGCAACCTCCCATCCATGATGGCATAATATAAATGTTAATTATATTTAAAAAAATAATATAATCAAAAAATATAATTTTATTGTTAAATAAAAGGTTTTTAAAAAATCAAAACATTATACTAAGTGCGTGAATGATTGTCGAGTGTTTTTTTATGTCTTTCAAATATTGTTTCCAGGGTTTTGAGCAGCACTGTGTGTGACTGCTGTTCAGATGCAATAATCTTTTTCATAGGAGAACTAATTGATGAAATATAAAAGAGTATTCTTTCAGAAAAGTGATCTGAAATTGCCCGTGTAGAAGTATTGGTCTATTCATCCACATTGTGTTGTTTTATTGCACTTTTCTTGCTTTAGGTGCACCAGAGTGGATCTGGTTGGTCTCCAGTGGTAAGTATTGTCCACGACTATGCAGTCGAAAGTTATAAATGTTTCTCACTTTAATCTTGTAGTGATCATGACTACGGTTTTGGACCAGTTACTTTAGTTTAGTATTATAATTGCTACACGCTACAGTGTTTTATTTTTTGTTTCCTCATTCTCTTTGATGTGCTCGGAGGAATGATAGGCATTTGTTCAAGGGTGAACGGGGGCTGTTTTCCTGCAGTTGCCTTCACTGGAAGCCCAGATTCAGATCTCTCCTGCAGGGACCCTCCCTTCCTGTAGTGCATCAGTAGACAGTGACATACAGAGAATGGCAGAAGCTGCCAGACCTGCAGAGTTGACAAACGTGCCCATTGAAAAACAATGCTTCTTCATTGTATGCAACCTTTATCGGACAAGTTGCCAGAAAAGTACCAAAAAAAATGTTGTTGGCTTGGTGATAACTTTTCCACTTCTCTTTTCAGTACGTGGAAGACAATCTTGCGGTGATGTCCATTGGCTTTTTGCTTAGCAGTCCTGATGACGCTGTGATCTGGAGAGGGCCAAAGAAAAACGGTTTGTATGACCTGAGAGTTTCACTCCTCGTGCAGTGAAAGAGAACCGCTCAAGTGTGTGTGTGAGTGAATCAGCTGGCAATAAACATTTGAAAGTATGAATGGAGAGAATGCCCTGTAAAGTTCTCTTTTCTGTGCTTTTTATCAATCTGGTTTTTAATTCTGCTTTACAAAATGCATATAGAGGTCCATCTTTTTAAGCAGAAGAGTGAAATGACTTGAGGAATTGACAGAATTAATATTAGAATTGTCTTCTACCTTTTAGAAAACAAATAGATTGCAGTCAGTGAAAACATTTCTGACAACTGGCCAAACCCTAACTCAAGTCCTCTAAGAAATCCAAAATATAATCTTTCTTTTTTATTAACTGAGGAGTGGAATAATGAGTGGCGATTTGTTGTTTGGCTGGTAAGAGGTCCCGGAACTAGACCTGAGTGAAATACCTCATTCCAAATCCTGCTGTAAATCCTCTCCTTATAAATGGGGTTCCCTTTGGGTTGAAAACTAAAAATACATACAATGAATATGGTTATGTTGCTTAGAATTACTTTAGATATGTTTCAGATAAGGGTGTCCGCTAAGCACATAAAAAAATAGTTTAATTCCCAGGCCCATTACAGTGCAACAGACTTTCACTAATCTATTTTTACTTTATTGAAAAAAAAAACACCCCTCTAATTAGCCAACTCTACAATCTTTACTCCAGCAGGCAGCAGAATAATAAAACCTTCCCCTTCCTCTTTATACCTTAATAAAACCCCTCCCGAAAGGTCTTCACTTCCTGCTTTTAAAGTGCAAAACATCTATAAACAAGCAACAAGAAAAGACCTGCAAACAGTTAAAAAATGGCGGTTGCTAGACAAATCTGGAAATCAGTGCCGCCAACAAAGCAACAAAGTTAAATAAACAAAAAACGAAAATAGGTGCTTACTACAACTGTGCAAAAGCCCCTATACTACACCCCCACCCTTGGGAAGTAGTCCAGATTCTTGGTAAGGATACTGTGGAAAGTCCTGTTGAATCCTGGATCACGCCTGCACTTTGTACTCTTCTGGCTCAGCCTGGTTCTTCCCACTCTTAAGGAAGGCTGGTTTAGCCCAACAGAAAATCTGCCAGCTGGCACATGTTTTGGTGGTGCTGTGTGTAGAGGCCTACTGAACCACAGTGAGAAAGAGACTCTTGTCTATAAACAGAGTGACTTAGATGTCAAATTACCAACCTCTGCTGTAGATTTTTTGCATGTTATTAACAAAATCGGGACCACAGCCTAAATTATACCCCTGACTCTCAGGTTATTTGTAGCTTGTTCCATCCATAAAGCTTAAATTATGTATTAATAGCGGTCTTATTTTCTATTTCTTAAGTGTCATTTTCCAGCCTCTGAAGTATGACCAATTTATTTTGTAGCATCACATCTTTGGCCAGTTTTTATCAGTGTGTAAACAGGATGTGTGTATATAGTTGGAAAGAGTGAGATTTTAGTCTCAAACAGCGGATTGTAAATTTTGTAGGGGAGGTGGTGATTCACATGCGAGTGAAGAAATTTGGTATTTTTGTGTCTCCGTGGTAGCTGTATTAATGTTTAATGTCAGCCCCCGTGTGTGGTGATATCATAGGTTTCAATTCCTCAATGAAAGTTTTCCAGATAATTGAGCTAAAATTACACATCAGATGGGAAACACCGTTTTTTTATGTAGCTTTCCTGGAGGAATTTAGGTGCTGACATTGTATTTGGTAATACAGTAGGTACTTTCAACATGTACCTACTACCGAGTAAACCTTGCATACATCAGAATCACTAGAGTGAAACCTTTCTCTAGGGTATATAAATGGTATGTCAGCTTCAGAACAGAAAACATGATCACACTCAAATACAGGGACCCTAATTTAGAAGCAGCCACATAAATTTATCCACATATCATTCATATTGGTAGTTGACTTTCACGTGTAGTTAAAAAAACACACTCAGGGAGTAGGTACCATAATGCTTGTAAGCGCCTGTGTTTTTAAATGCATGTGGTTTGCACTTCAGTGTTTCGGCTGGCATCCTTCACACTTGTCCCCTCTGTACCATTTTAAAGAGCAGACTTTACAATACCAGGTTGTGACAGTGACAACCATCAGCTGCACACTTGACCAAATCATGTCCGTGCTGCACAGTTGTACAGGTCACAGGAACAGATAACAATAAACTTTTACAAGCCCTCAGCTCGTAGGTGCAGGACACTTTTTGATGGAATTTTAATGTGTAGCAGGCATGCAGAGGTTAAAAAGAATTGTAAAAGGACAGGAAAAATCAAGTCCGATGTCCCAGATGTATGTGACTAAACCTGAGGATAATCTTGTTTTAAAGTTGGAAAGCTTTGCTGCCTGAAACACATTTGTCACGTCTCATGTCTTTCATTGAGAATAGGTGATCCCCACGCCTGGGATGTGGTTTGGAAAAACACACCTGTTCTTTATTTTAATGGATTGAAAACATCCGTCCAGCTGTTTTGAGACTTAAACCACAAGCTTTATTTCTAGCACTTGTATGCTAAACTTTTTGGATGTTGCTAAATTGTTTACCTTTTTTTTTTCCTGTCAGGAATGATCAAGCAGTTTCTGAGAGATGTTGACTGGGGTGATATTGATTACCTCATCGTTGACACCCCACCTGGGACATCTGACGAGCACTTATCTGTTGTTCAGTACCTCAGCAGCACTCACATTGATGGGGCCATAATAATAACAACTCCACAGGTGACAATAACCAATACGAGTGTATCAACAAATTCTTCCTCTTTGTTCCTTTACGGGGAATTTGAATCACTGCACCACAATGTTGAAATTTCGAGCAGTGGCATTTCTTGGTTCTGAGTGACTCGTGTTAATCTTGTCTTGGAAAACGTAATGAGCTGTGCTATTTCATCGGGTGCCGTCTTTCATTTACTTTGCCTTACAGGAAGTTTCATTGCAAGATGTCCGAAAAGAGATTTCTTTCTGCCGAAAGGTGAAGCTGCCTGTCATTGGAGTTGTCGAAAACATGAGTGGCTTTGTGTGTCCTAAGTGCAAGGTGAGAAGGGAAAACGTGTCCCTGGGGGCTGATCTTACCTGAAAGTGTTCTTGCTAAATGAAAATTCTAACTTTTATGGCTGCACTGAAATTATTCCACTTATGCAATCAGGGAACTTAGTTTCTACTTCTTGAAAGCTCAGACTCCAAGGATCCTTACTGTCATAGGAAGACATTTTAAAATGTTTTTTTTTTTTGGTCTTAGAAATGTTAAGAAACTGCTCTCTTTCTTGATGTTTTGCAGAATAAATCTCAGATTTTTCCTCCTACCACTGGAGGGGCAGAAAAAATGTGCCAGGATTTCAACATCCCCCTGCTGGGGAAGGTGCCTCTGGACCCTCGCATAGGTAACCTGATCTTCAGCCGCCCTTTTGTGGGGACGAGCCCTTAGGGCCAAATGGATTAAGCCACGAGTTGTGAAAGTGACCAATTTTTTCTTATCAATACGTACAGAACCCAATACGTAGGGTTGCTGATGGCTTGCCCCACGTAGGTGAGCTGAAGTGCTGCTCTGGGCCAACGCCTGTCCTCTGAGTGCAAGCTGCTAACTCATGATCAGGAATTGAAACCAGACCAAAATAAACCACATTTATAACAAAAACTGAAGAACGATTTCAGATATACAAACAACTATACTTAACGGTGAATACTTTTGGGAAGTTAAAGAAAAATAATAATTGAACTACGGTTGTGTAGTTCAATTATTTACAATTTAAATTTAAAAGGTCCAGTGTCGAATTTTACCAGCCATTACTTGATCTGAATTATTTTATAACTTTAAGAACTGCACCAAAATTAATAGTGTTCTCATATGCTAGATCACAATAAAATCAGTTCCTCTTCAACACATTCTCAGAAAGTTGAGGTCAGTATGAAGGAATCAGCAAAATCTTATGGTTTCCAGTTCCTTCTTCACTAACTTCCCAGTTTTGGTCTCAAAGGAAAGAGCTGTGATGAGGGAAAGTCCTTCTTGACGGAAGTGCTAGATTCTCCAGCCACTGCTGCCTACAAGAGCATTATCCAGCGTAAGTCCATGTGCTTCAGTCACACGGTGCAGAGGCATAAAAACATTCTGAAACTATGAATGGGCTGTCAGATTCCATAAGGTTTAATATACAATGAATAAATAAGAGTCTTAGCAGATTCAGTTCAATTCAGAAAGGGAAATTTTATGATGCTTAAAACACATTCTGCTATAAGTGATTTTTTTTTTGCCTCAGATGAATTAGAATAACCCCAATCATCATAACATCCATCGTCTTTTATACATTTAATAATGTGATGTACGTTTGATAGAATATCCAGCCACCCAGTAGCAGAAAGCTGCTTTTCCCGTCGAGGGTGACAAAAACTGGAAGCACAGGGCACACAGCAGCACTGAACACACAGAAATTCTCTTGCCATCTGTAGGATTCCAGTCCGTCACAAGACCAAGGAACAGGGACAATTTAGAACAGTCGGTCAAAGCTAGACATCATGTTAAATAATACAGTTTTTATCTACCCTGAATGTGAGTCAGTGCTACAGGACATGAGAATGTGATTTTTGATTTTGTTTTACAGTGTTAATTCTCTTTGGCCCACTATTGCTCTGTGGGTTCAGATCTATTCATTTATCTTAGGAGAAGGGTATTTTGTCTGTTTTTTTTTTTGTTAAACATTTGTGCACACTTCTCTGCTTCATGTCTACATACACTATAAACTGAGAGAGCAGCACACGGAAGAAAGATCATTGTTCATTGCTAAGTGCCGTGCAAGAATCTCACATCCTCTCCTGTAAACCTGTAATATTGCTGGGTAGGGCGATCCCTTTAAGAAAAAGGTACAGTGAAAACTGGCACCCTGCAGCAGACGTACCCTGATCTACAGTAGATATGTGTACTAGACTTTAAGAAATGAAAGTGCAGCACACCTTGAATACTTTGTTGCATTTTGGTCTTATTTTGAAACAAACATTTGGATTTTGGGCCTGTTTTTTTTTTTTTGTTATTCTCACTGTGCCATGAACACACATAAAAAAAGCAGGCTGAGAACTGATATCTCTTTTTTGGATAGGGGCCTGTTAATAATTTGCAGGATAGTATCTGCTGCTGTGCCAGATATGATATTCTCATATCAAAATCATTTTTGTCTTTTCTGCTGTAGAAACCAAACATCAAAATAGAGATGTGTGAGTGTAAGAGAAAACAGCAGTGAAAAAGAGGAACTTTTATTTAACCCCATGTGAAGAACATAATGTTTACTGAGATCTAAAACAAATGTGATTTCTCAAGTAACGTTTTATTGATGCATGTTAAACAAAATAGCCTTTTAAACTGCATATATATGATGTTTAGAAGGCTACAGGCGTATGTGACAGCTTAGGCCTTCTCTTTACTTCCTGAAGTTTTTCAGTCATTACATTGCCATGCACAGATACACTTTTTTTAGTTTGATAATGCTTTAAAAACTATTTGTCCTTTGCAGGTATCCAGGAGTATTGTTCATCTCATCAACCACAGGATTAAAACACACTAGCTGAGTGTTTTTGGCTGACCAATTATTAAGCGAATGGAACGGCGTTTCCTACAAAGAAATGCACTGGAACTGGGTTTTTATTACTGATAAAATGTAGTCATGTGTCCTCTTCAAGAGCGGAAATATTCAAATAAAATGTATTGCCTTAATCAAAAATAAATCTGCATTGTGGGATCTCATTCGTACTGTGCAGCTGTAAACCTCAGCACCGCTCTGCAACCTTTTCAGTACTCGGCTGAAAAAGGAAATGTGGCTGATGTGTATGTTTGCAAGAGCCTCACTGGTTACTTTTTTCTTGGTCACCTGCAAAAGAAAAAAAAAAAGTAACGGTGAAAATGTCAAATTTGCTTTAGCAAACAGAAACTTTAAATTTCTTCCAAAGATAAAATAATTTTCAGAAAGCAAATAGAGTATATTTTATTAACACATTTTTCGACAGCCTGTTTTTATCTTTATTTAATCTTATGAGCCATCTTTTTGCACAATGTTTATGTTCATGCTGAACATTAAATAAAGACCTCTGAATCAAACCACTGTAGCAGTGTGTTATTAGACCTTTAGATCAAAGGATTAACCTGCTCTAAGAAAAGCTCTTGGGTGTTGAACTTCTGTGAAGGGTGAAGGTGGTGATAACTCGGAAACAAGCAGGTTGTCGTGAAAACTGGGTTTTTGTATTTTATGTGGTACTGTATGTTCTGTTCAGACCTTTTTTTTTTTTTTACAGTTACACTGTGGTCAAAAGGATACATTTTAAATGCTGGACTATGATTACATTTTGTTTAGTGTATCTTTTTTTGAAAGGCTGCACCAGTGTGTAATCTTTCAAGTGTGTGAATCTTCAAAGATGATTTCTTTATGGGAAATACATCACTAATGCACAAGGTACTGGTGCAGCTGTCTGTCAGCTGAAAAGGCTGCTACACAAATCTGTGTCCTCAAGTGAAAGAGGAAATGCACATTAGTTTTCACCTTACTAAAGCAAAAACTGTTCCATCTTGTCACTTGACTTGAACTATCCTTAATGCAGTAATTCTGTATTTAAAGTAAATACTACTTTGTCATGAATATATCTTCATATTTAATAAAAGCAATGCAGTTTATTTGCTTTTTGTCTGAATAGCTGTTTCACCTCGTGAAACTTGCTTTGTTCTCTTAGTCAGGAGCATACAGTATATTGTTATCATCACTGGTTAACCAGAAAGATTATCTGGATAGGGTGATCAACAGTCAAAACTTAAATGTCCTTAAAATTAAACCGAAACTAAAAACAGGAAGTTTTAACCATTCTCCCAAGCAGGATGTTTTTTACAGCAATCCCTGAAGCTGAACTTACAAAGTGGGGTACTGTGGTGATACTGTATGTGAGCTCACTGGAGTAGTCGTATGTCACTCCAATGTTTATTGTGAAAAAAAGTTTAAAAAATGCAATGAAGCTGCTTTGTCTTTCATTATCCACTTGATGAAATAGCGTTTTTACACCGATATCTCACCTTTGGAAGTGGGTATCTCCTAGCAGAGATTCTTGTCATTTGTGAGGCTGCACTGCTAAGTCTGTATTTGAAATAATATCAAATACTACTGTGAGGCTGATTCTAACATGCCGGTGCAGTGCATGTACTCATAAATTATATGCAACATTGGATCACAGGTTTTCTTGAAAGTCTTATGTATTGTTATTACCGTAACATGGTAACACTGCACGTCTATATTCTACAATGATAAAACATCCTTGATGCCTTAGTCAGTAGTCAGCTTTGATCAAAGCCCTTTTACAGCCCAGAATATGGCTGCAGCATTGAAACAGAAAGCAGATCTGTGCATCAGGTGGCTCTCAGTTGACATAAATGACAATCACATGAAGTGTAAGGATGTTTTTTTTTTATTTGCATAATGTGTTCACTTTTTAACAATTTACAGTTGAAATGTTCACATTTTTGAGACAAGCAGAACTTTGAAAAGGTAATCCATTCATAGTTTTCAGTGGGGGTACCAAAGTATTCTGCTGACTGCTTTCATAAACATAACTCTATTAGTGTTACAGGCCCCAGATTCTAATGTTTATGGCCATTTCTTTCTGGTTACCCACAAAGACTCAACTTCAGCTGCCATAAATCATTATCAGGATGTTGTAATGCTGACTTACCTTTCTTTTCACAGCATGCCAAAAATGATATCAGGCTGAAAAAGAAAAAAATACAAATGAGGTGGCATGATAGTTTCATTCCGTTACTTTATCAGAAACAGGATCACAAAAGGCATTTAATCTTCTAGTTCTTGGGGATTTCATCTCTCTTTAACTACCAGTTTTGGACACGGGGAAATAGAGTCCGGTTTGGTAAATACCTATTTAATTGCTAATATAGCATGGAAGCAGGAGGCCCTGTGACCCTCAAGCATAAGCGAGAGAAACAATACTAAAAGTGGACAAAGATGGCTTCCAAAAGCTCAAACCGGTCTATTTAATGCATAGGAACCTTCCGGGGTCCTTGAATTTGTAGTCAGGAAACAGGTAAGAGATGAAAGTCCTACCCTCTGGAGGAACTGCTGTCCCAGATAGGAGGAGGCCGACGTGGTGATACCCTGCTGGCCACCGACCTTGCAGCGGACGTAACCATAGAGATTAGCAACTTGAAGCGAAATCCCGGCAATAACCAAGGCCTGTAAGAAGAGAAAATAACGATTTTTGGGGGGGTGATCGTGTTGCCTGGACCTCACAAAAAAGCACCCGGATCAAATCGCACACCGCCCTCGCTGAAGCTGAAATCATGACGCTTGCAAGGGCGATACGAGCGAACGCCGAGCTGAAGGGGGCATCTGGAGGAGGCCTTCATCGGGCAGGGAGTGGAAAGGATGTGAACCTGAAGACATGTCACAGATAAGAGACTATCGGGATCTGGGAGGGCTCCGGATCGAACATACCAGCCACTTCAGCTTCAGGGAGAAGAGGGTGCTGAAGAAGAAGCCAGTCCAGATGAGTGGACAGACGATGAGCCCCAGCCAGAAGATTCGGGCTTCAGCCTCGGTGGAGGGCGTCAGGCTCTGAGGGGAGGACTGGGGGAGAGAAGAGTGTTTCACAGGCGGCCATGCTACGAGCACGCGCCCTTGTAGGGGCAAGAACAGGAACACCACCACGCGTCAGGACTTTAAACACAAATATCCATCCGCTCGAAATGGTAACGATAACAGAAACCACACAAAGTGAAACGACGGCACTTAAAGAACAGATTTTGATCCCACGTTCCCATTCATTATCACTGTTGTATCCTCCATAACGCAAGGGATTCAGCCAAGCAGATGTAATGGTTTTATTTATCAAATACTAGAACGACATACAGGCGTGGCCAGTAAACATTGAGCAACCCCTTACTGGCTCGGTAAGCAGCTGCCGGGACTTCCTCCCAGCGACCCCTAGACACGTCTGCATCACTAAGACGTCACACACACCTTCCTTGCTTCAAAGACCCAATGGCTCCTTCCATCCTCGTCGATCTGATTCCACCATCGCAGGCCCACCAGGAGTCTTCCAGTCACGTTCTTGAGAAAGGGGAGAAGGTCCCCTCTCAATGGACGTATGATAGTCACCCAGGTAAGAGCAACTGTCTGAAAACTGGCTGCTCAACACATACAACCCCTCTCACTCTAAACTGTCTTTTGCTGAATAAATAAAGCCTGTCCATCTTATGCAGAAGCAGGACACAGTGAAGCTTGTTCCACAAGCTACATTAAATATCTGCAACAGTGCCACCCCAAAGATTCCTTTACTGATTTTTGTTTTACTTTACCAGTAAAGGCCATGTACATACCTTGACTGACCAGAAGTCACAAGACAGAAGGGCAATGATCATCACAAAACAGGCAACAAAGCTCTTACTGAACCAGTCACAGAACAGGTAGGAAACAATGGCACTTATCCGGAAGAACAGATGGAAGAAGGTAGCCAGAGGATGTCTGCAAAGTCAGGGCGTGAAAAGAAAGACATTTCAACAGTTTAAAGGTATTAAACAAAGGACTGGGTTAGGGTGGGGGGCTCAGAGGACTGAACCAGGTTGTAAAGGACAGTGTCTGGAACTATAAGCGACACAAATTGTAGTAAGCACGTACACCGTTTCCACTATCAGCTTGTCTCATAAAGCTCTCATGCAGTTAATCTTTGTATTCAGCTCGGGCACGTAAGAGACAAAATTTACAAACTGAGCTTCTGAGTTTTGTTAGAAAAAAAATACAGCATATGCAAGGCTCAAAAGAGAAAATATAAGTATATTGCATACATTATTGCATTCGTACTATTAGAATAATTCATAGCCTTTTCCTAAGCACTAGGGATCAGATCAGGTGTCTCTTGCTTTTTAATGGCAATACCTGATTCTGGTTTTCCTCAACGCCTCTTCATCAGCTCCAAAGTCCAGAGATACATCTTCTGTGTCATCCACCAATGACTACAACCATCAGAAAATTAAATGCAGTAAATAAACATGCATCCCCCCCCCAAAAAAAAAAACAAACAAAATTGGGGGGCTACCAGTTTAAAACAATTCTCCTCCTCAAAAAACGTTCATGCAAATCTTTGTGGGTTTCCTTACCTGTTTCATTGTTACGGGCGGTTACGATTTAAGAAATATGTTATATCCGGTGTCGTGGGTTGCAAGTTAGAATTGGGAAATATTTTTCTCCTTATTTACAGAGTGCTTTCTATGATAACAATATGAGAGGTGTTCCACTAAAATGTGTCCGAGTTGATGTCAAAATTCTTCTTGCCAAGCCGCTCCCTCGCTGATGTCTGGGAATATAGGATCGCTTGTGATGTATCAGCGGCTGTAGGTGTAATAACTAAATAAACATTTCAAAATGTCTATAAAGACTAAACTTTTAGATGTAGAATTATATTAAAAATTGTATTTCTTATTAATTCGAAAACTGAATTGTGAATTCTGATGCACTCAAAACCTTCTCAGAATGTTCTAGCAAGTATGCATTTAAGTACGCAGTTGTTTTTTGTGATTGTTGTAAAAGGTTTGGAAGCCAGTTTACTATATTTTGGGGTAAAAAAAAACATTATTCATCCATTGTGACATTGTGACAAATACTGACAATGAAGTAAAATAAGGAGCAATGTTTTTGTTGGAGTTTATCGTCACTGTTCAGTAATCCTTTGTAAAAGGTTCAGCCACATAAAGTCGAATTTAATTTCTATTCTGCTTTTATCACACGAATCTTGTGTAAAGGTTGTTTTTTTTATTTATTAAAGGTCTCCAACGAGGAACTAGTTGCGTCAATACTGGCAAAAGAGAGAAGTTAGAAGCAGTTTGAGAACTAATGTTTTTTTTTTTAGTTTGGATTTCATACACTGACAAATTCTCATGCCTTATCCCACCAACCCACAATTAACGACTGTATGTTTTTATTTGTTATTTTTCTTTTTTCCAATTTGTCCTCTTCTTACAGCTCAGTACTAAGTGCAGAAAAAATACCTACGTGTAGAGGTATGAGCATTAATGATTTTACTAGACCGCAGTAATCACTGTTGGCATATTAGACAATAGCAAGCACATTTAGACATGAACTAGACATGCTATTTAAGCCACTTGTCTACTGTTGATAAGCATGGTGAGTTTGGCTGTGCTTGTATGGTTTAACACAAGCTACTGTACTGAATAACAATGTCATGCTGGTGGGTGTGTATGGAGAAAATAAAAATCTAATTCATCACACGATTAAAAGAAATCCTTTGTGAAAGAATGCAAACAAAAGTTTTACTGTTGGCACGGAAGTAGAATCCAGTCTTCAAAGACCTGTTCAGCCAGTGCAAGGAGTGTGTTTACATTGACTAATACTATACTTTACATATTAGTCAAATGCAGCTCTAATAAAGAGGTGCATGCTAAAAAAACATGTGATTTCCCACACATACTAATAAACCATTTGTTTGGGGAATGTTTAGACATTTCAGATGGTGTTCTGAATCCCTACGAAAATACATCAGAAGGGAATAATACAGAGAACAAAAATACATGAAGAAACACAATGAGATACAGTATTTTATTACTGACTTCTCACACGGCTGGGTCAGGTCCAGAAAAGTCTGGCAGTTTGAGCTCAGGGAAACCCCTCATGATGAAACTGAATGCCCAGGAGCCCAGTGCAAACACTAAGGGTTTGAATGAAGTAATAGTTCTTTCAACATTGTCTAGGACCTCCACACTTGTAGACATCTGATGAAATACTTTTAAAAAGTCCCTAAAAGTTGTATCTGCAGTCTTGGTCTGCAGACCTTACTCAACCCCTATTTAAAATCTCTCAGACATATACCGTCTTCACATTCGTAAAGGACCCTTGTCAGAAAACAAATCAGAGAGTTTCATTTTCTCTGGTAGAGGACTCCAGGGACTGGAATGAGCAATCCCATGATTTCTGCTCGGAAACTATAACACAGCATTTTTCTAAAATGAGCACTGATCTATTGGCAACAAGGTGTGTTCCGACTAAACACAAAGACCCTGAAGAGTCGGTGAATACCCACGGAAACTTTGGGGTTTTACTACAGTCACTGTCATGACTGAATGGAGGTGGGGGTTGGTTCTGGGTCACATTCACATGACTGGCAGGTTTAGTCACAGTGAGAGTTATGGTCTGTTGGTCTATGGTCACCACCTGTACTGTGTTGCCGACAGCAGTCCAGGAATAAACCTAAGATGCAGCAATTACAGCAGCATTAACTACTGTCAGAGGAAGTGGCTGACGGTTTTCTACTGCAGAATGAATTCAAAGGTATGTTTTATTAGTGTGTATTATTATTTGTGACATATCATTTTAACTTTGGTGGAGTAAGGACATAGTTGGTTAAGTGGTTCTTAAGAATGTTATGTGAAGCTAGAATGGGTCTTTAATATATCTATCCATTTCCTAAAAGAGATCCAGATTCAAGGTCACAGGGGAAGCCAGAGCCAATCTCAGCAAGCAATGATTGCAAGGCAGGGTACACACCCTGGACAGGACAAGAGTCCATGACAGGGCACACACTGAAACAAACACACACTCACCAGAGCCAAGTTTCCCTGAAGCCAGTTAGCTTAACCATATGTCTTTGGACTGTGGGAGGAAACTGGGGCACCTGGAGAAAAACTACACTAACATGGGGAGAACATGCAAACTCCACACAGAGAGCACCCCAGGTTTGGAATTGAACCCAGTGCCCCAGCACTGCTTGGTGGCCATGCTGACCACTGTACCGACATCTTTAAGAAATACCAGCTTCCACTGGTCTTTTTAACTCACCTTAGCAAGAGGAATAGTACAACAATCAATCGTTTCGATTAAAAGGGGCGAAACAAAACAAAAAGGGGCGAATGGATATCACAGCAAACGATGGTCATGAGCTGTTTTCATGTCTCACATAAACAGATTTGTTTACAAAGTGAAATGCTATTATTCAATGGTATCCGCACAGAAGGAATGTTTATTAGTACAGAGGTGGGATGGTTTACTACTTTTAATAAGTCACTATGAGAAATTGAGTAGTTACATGCGATAGAGTGAAGAACCTGTCAGTCAGTGCCAAGTGTGTGTGGCTAATCTAATGTGTGTATAAATCTCTGCCAATGAGAGTCACTGCAGAGTCTGATCAGTCTGTACAAAGGTCCTAGCCTCGCTGAACACAGTGGCCTGTTTTTCTCTGTCATCCTCTCCAAGCACAGCTAATGCTAATGTGTTTCTGAGGTTCTGTGAGATTCGGAGTAGTTTTGAGTTGGGAGCTGTATCAGGATGAGATCTGCACAGGAGCAAACACAGGTTCATCCTGCCCTGGAAAGACAACATTTTGACTTTGGAGCTGAGTGTCAAGGAGAGATGTTTGTACTATCTTTTGGAATTAACTTCTAAAAATGTAGGCATATAGTGTGTACAGTATGTATATATAGGTTTGTTTATAGACAATTCTCCTGTTGACTTTCTTTGTAGCTTTCCTAAATTAAGAGACATTATCTTTCTTGTCTAGTTGCTGATATATTTTGGATGCCAGAGCCTTACTAATGGGTTTCCTGAAAGACTTGCTTGTAGATACCTCCCCATGAGTCGAAAGTCTTCCATTCCCTCAGCCCCCTGTGCCTCTGTACTGTAACACACCCATCTGCTATTGGATCTCAGCTCAGTGCACACCACACATTTCACAAGTCATATGTTCAGCAAACTGTCCCTTACTTAACATCTGAGAATCCTGAAGAGGTACGTCATGAAAATATCAAGAACAGCTCCGTTTTACAGCTGCTAATCAGTCACTGATTGACCGAATGGGCGTGGAGGTTTTGAGAAGACAAGAGCAAAAGTAGATGGCAGTGAAGATGTCGATGCCGTATATTTGATTTTCCAGAGGGTCTGATGGTGAAAGCAGTAGAAATTAAACCAACTACATCAAGGAGATTGTGAGCTATTCAACATGCCACATACACAGAGTACTGACCAGGGGAGAAAACATCACTATGACAGTTAATGCCATACCACTGGGATCTGTGTTAGGTCCACAGATCTTCCTAATATATATATATTGATGATTTTCTTGATTCTGACACTTAATAGATTTATAAGCTGTACATTTTGCAAATGACACAAATAATAGATTAAATAAAAAAGCCTGTGGAATGCTTAATGCTTATACCTAAATGAACAGAATTAAGACCCTCTTTCAAAATAATACATATTTTAATTGCAAATAGAATAATAAACGCATAGGGATAATTCCTGACCTAAGAGGAATCTCATACTGTATACACTTCACACAGTTAAAGGAGGAGACTGATTTGGCCCATCATTATTAGCTAATCCATAGATCCGAAAATCTCCTCCAGTAATTTCTTGAAGAAGCCAGGGTATTGGTTTCAACAACAGGGCTGTGTAGCTTGTTCCAGACTCCCACAATCCTTTGTGTAAATGGATGATATACAATACAGCAATATTCAAATCGGTAATAAGGGTTCAAAAGATGTCTAATGTTTTTTTTTTACATTTATTGTGTTCTTATGGCTTTGCAGCCAAAGTGGAGGATTACAGTAAATGAAAATGAATCAGGCTTTACTCTCACTGTCATCGGTTGTTAAGACCCTTTTCTAGACTTGCTTCATACAGATAAAATGACCCTGACACGTACTTCACATCAATTTGACTCTCAATGTCAAAATGAGACATTGATTTTAATATTAGCCACATTATAATGAAGAAAATCCTCAGGGGAAACAACACTGCATAGAAAATATTGTGCGTATTTCTACCTGGGAAGGGCTGCTTAGTTATAAGCCTTTAAAATGTGAAAGAAAAAGCTTTTTTGTAGATGTAACTGTGTTCTACTTGGTTTCTAGAGATCACATGACTGAATTCATGTTTTTCTCCCTTTGATTTGTTTGTATCCAGTCACAAACACCATTTGCAGAAACGCAATTCATAGCTAATGAACCCGGCCCCTGGTCAAAAGAGGAAAAGGAAGTCTATCAGCAGGACTGGCTTCATATAAATATCTCTTAGACAGAGACACCACCTTGGCTGTTCAGGCATGATTCACTTTGAGGACGTTCTAAGCAAAGTGAGGAGGACACTTGGCAGTGCTTCCTCAGGGGAGATCCAGGGCTTCCTCGCAGACCTACTGAAGGCGGAGATCCTTTCCAAGGACTACTACCTGTGTCTCTCCAAGGAGAAGGATGCTGAGGACCTGGCCAGGAGGATATCCCTGCCCGTGTGGGAAAAATGGAATGTTTGCCACAGCACTATACAGTCTGTCCTCACCAAACTGCCCAACCGCAGGACAAAGGGGACAACCAGCTCCACCAGTAAGCTCCTGCATGCCTTTTTCCTGTGCCCAGCACCGACTGGTGTGTTTCTGCCTGCCTCTATCTTTTCTCCTTTCACAGTCTGTGCCATTTGGCATTTTGATTCACCTTCCCAGTCCATACGTTAGTTCTGTTTTTCACCGGCTTGATGCATGTATGACAAACTAAGAAAGCAAGCTGTCTTTAGAAAGGGGCAAGTAGGTTAAAAGTGTATCTGTTGTCTTGGGCAGGAATCTGATTAAGAAAGAAAACGCCAATATTTTATTAATGTCTTTATAAATGAGAGTGAAATCACAGTGCTCAAAACATGTCCTAGTGTATCAAAGGAGGTTTTCTGATGGGAGGAAATTCTTATTCCACCAGGTATATAATTCAGAAAATGGGTGCAGACACTGCAGGAAGTTATTTCAGGCAAAAGGGAATTTGCCACTAACAATGGATTTGGCTGAAAAATGTTTGTCTGTCTTGAGCCTTTAATGGAGAGAGTGCAAATTTTTGGGCCACTGCAGGTACGGTGCTTCTGCTCACCTGCAGTGGTGCCTCAGATGTTAGGAAAGTGAGGAGTCACTTTCAATTTACAGCATAATCAGGACAATGCCAAGAACAATGACAAATATTTCTGAGCATGTTATTAAAAACAGGAATAAACAAATGAACAATAACTACATGATATTCTTACAGAAGTAGCTTCAATCTGCTGATGAGAAGTGTTTAGACACAACGTCACCCTGGCACCATATGTTTGTGTGCATGTATGCGTGACGGTATAATTTAATGAGCAAATACGAAAGTATGAAGAAAGAAATGTAGCAGACAGCAATAAAAAAAAGCTTCATTCTTTTTAGTCCACAGTGTTATCCCAGAAACAAGATTTTATCACTCTAAATTGTACAATTATTACTATGTGGAAAATATATTAATTAAAAGATGATAAAAATCAGTTTTTTTCTGATACTTTATTTATAAATGTCACGTCAGATAGGTGGGTGTTCAAACTCATATCTCCCACCCTGTGCATCTGCAGTGTCACTCTTTTATATTACTGGTTTACTTTTGAAAAACGAAGGCTTAGAAAGCGTTAATCATCCCCCTTCATGTTTTCAATACACTTTGATTACAGGGGGAGCACTTTAACTGACATAGTAAAGGCAATGTCTCACTCATTGTGGCTTTCAGGTTACGTCATATTATCTCACACTGCTTCTTAACAAGCCCGTTAAACTGAAAGGACCGTAGATTTCGAAGTTAACCACACGGTGCTACACCTGCCTCAGACTCTCTTCTTTTGATTGCTCAATGGTTTGTACTGGGGCCGCCAGCCGGTTTCGCTGAGATTTTGGCAGGTGCCCAACTTGCAGGTAGGACGTGGAATGTCACCGGGACACTGCAAGGCTTACTGTATATTTCCTTCTTGCAAACTGTGAGATTTTATCACTTCAGATTAGTGGTAATGATTAGAGTTTTTTCCTTTCTGCCAGAAATCCCCTGTATGTCTTATTCTACTTGTTTGATTAAATGCTAAGCCTTGAATGTGTGTTTAGTTTATCATTAGAAAGGTGTTTTTACACTGATCGTCTCTGTGATGCATGACTTACTTTGGGAGTGCGTTTACTTTAATGTTTTCAACTGTAATTGACTGTAAATCACTGCAGTTGACAAGAAATTAATTTGGCCATGAATGCTCGAACCTGGACTGTCAACGCCATTGCAGAAATAATTAAGAGGATATCCATTTCAGATTCAATACTAACACGAGAAAAAAGCCTTTTCTAAAGTGTGAAAACGAACATTTGAAAGTATGTGGAGTATTGATTCCAATGTATTATTACTAATTTAGATGACGTATTAAATGTTCACATCAATTTAGGGTAAAATAATTTCAGCATTTCTGTGCATGAATATTTATCTGTTTTGGGTAGGGTGACACAAAGATTGACTTTTAGTTCATTAAGATTGGCTTTTTATTCAATCTTTTAGTCTTTGAGCATTAGACTGTATCTTTGGCCGTTGCCTAACAGTCTGGTGTCAGATGTTAATACTGATGAAGCTATGTATTCATTAAATTTAATTTAATTAAAAGAGCGGAACAACACAGCCAGAACCATGTTTTCCCAAAGAAGATTTGATCAGAGCTGTCGGGTTTATGTTATGATCTGTTCGTCTGGTGTGCAGAACAACGTCCGACAGGTAGCGATGCTGACTAGCAGTCATACTCCTTCGGGCTGCGAGACAGGCAAATTCACGGAGCTCAATACAGCCAGTGAAAGAAATGTTAGAAGGTGACCGACTGGATCCAGAAGTGCAAGTACAGTGTGTACTCGGCAGTCGTCGTGGGCTGTTGCGGAATGAGGTGATTAAACGAAACATTCTGCAAAAAAGCCGTGTGGATTCCAGCGGGCAGTGTGGCATGACACACGGTCTTAGGCTGTGGGGCTACTGACGCGCTCCGCGGAGCGATAGCGAAAGTAAAAGAGCTGGGTGCCTGTCTGCGTGCTACGATTGTGATCATTTGGACAGTTCCCCCATTTTCAGACAGCACCACGACGCGTTACCATCACTCGAGAAACGATACACGCGAGAACATCACTTTGCTGGAAGGGCTGAAATGGTACTTGGGGTTCAATGAAAGCGCGCATTGCAGGTACCTTTTCCCCTGTTTTACGAAGTTATAGCAAAGAAAGTTTGGTGTTTGTGCTTTTAGCTTCGGACAGAAATGTCTAGGTTGAATATTTTAGAACTTGAACACGGTTTGCTTTGTGTGTTAGTCTATTTCCTTTTTCGATACGCTACACTCCTCTAACTGCAGAAACAGAGGGGGAAAACCGACGGGAAATCTGTTTCTTTAGTTGCAACGACGTTTAATTGCAAGCTGATTTTCTGTTTCCAGAATTAATGAGCAAACTGCTATTTTGTTCTCTTGAGTTTTGAAGTGTTTTACCCAGTCTTCCTTTTATTGGCATTTGGAAAACGCAATTGCTCATAAATCATGCTCAAAAGGAAACATTATTAACCTTAATTTGATAGCTCGGACGCGCCTATCCATTTTAATTTTAAGAAGAAGTTTTGTTGTAAGGGTTTGATCATTTTTCTTTGTCCCAAAAGGCACCCTTGTCCAATTACAAATAGCAACAGCAGGTGTAGCTGTGGTTTTGAAAGGCTGTAAAATTCTAAGTAGAGGACAACTAGCTATTACTCTTGACTTTAACTGAGTAATTATCCAGTGTTTTAAGGTCATAAACGTTAATTGTGTTTTGGTGCGTGTGATGAGGATGGGCGAGACCAGTCTTGCAAACATGGTGGGTCGCGGTTCCTAGACTTGTATTGTGCACACCTGTTAATTTCAGTCGCTGAAACGAGTAGAGAAAATCCATACCCTCGCCTTTGTTAACTGAGATTGTATTAATTGAGCAGTAGGATTCAGGTGTTTTGTTGTGTTTTTGTTCGTGCAATGCCCAGGTATGGATTTGTACACCGCTATGCGCTCCATTTTATTGAAAGTGAAAGTGAGCGCGCTTGCATCTCCGCCTTATTGAACACACAATTGGTTTCCCTGGAAAATAAAAAATAAACACGCGAACAAACGAAGATTTGATTTAAGACCGGGTCTGACTGTAAAGCTTGTGTCCATAATGTTAAACAAATCAATAAATGCGCAGATTACTTTCGGCTGCTGGCAATTCTTACACTTAAGACGAATGCCCGTGAATTTCGGGACTTTCCGGGAGTAGAGTATGATCAGACTTATATTTATGAACTTGTACAGCTTTTTTGTTGTTTTTAGTCAGGTGACATACACTTATTTTCTAAAACCTTGTTAATATGCACGCAAAATCATGTATGTGGCATTTAAATAAGCAAGCTTTCTTCCAGTGTTAGCTGTCATAGATGTTTGCTTAAATTAAAATGTGTATTTTTACAATTTATTTGGTGGGATAGTTTCAGCTCTGTGATAACGGTCCAGTTAAACATAATTAACGGTGACTGCAATTCATACACTAGAAAGGTTCAGGAAAACAAACAAGAGTTTGAAAATCCCCCCAATATTCCTGTAGTTTTATTTACACACAGCCTGGAAGGTTGACTTTGCTGATGCGTTTCCTCTCATTGATATCTCTTGTACCAGTGCCACAAACTCCATGTTTTGAAACTGAACCTTTCTGCTCAGCTGCAATCTATCTGTATGACTAACACGTGCAGTCCTCTACAAAACTCTTGTAGGGATTTATTAATTTAATATATTAATGTCGTTGTCTTTTTCTGGCTTTTGGAGGTTTAGCTGTCGCAATAAATATACTTACTATCCATTTTATATTCTTTAATATGATCTCCATCACATCTTTCGGTGGTTTGTTTTTCTGAGTGGTTTAAAATAACAGCTAGCACAACCCTGTTGTGGTGTGAACATGCTTCAGAGGTTCTCGGAAGTAGTGTTGTGAAGCAGATTGGGGTCGTATGTCTGAATTTGCAAGAGATAGTCAGATAGAGACAGCTGAATAGTGTCCATCATGTCCACTTGCACACAATGCCATTTCTTTGAATTAGTGCTTGAAAGAAAACACTTTTTGTTAAGGTATCCATGTTCAATAGATACAAGCAAATTAATTTCTTAATATTAATAATATGGGGGTTGCTTTGGGTCTGCTTATGGTTATGCTGTATTTGCTTTAGGGTATTTATTTTGAGTGACTTTATGGAGTTTCAATTTTTCCTCCTTTTAACATTCAATCTCTACAGCCAGATTTCTTTGACATGCTATAAAAAAAAGACTGCAAAGCTTTTTACAAAAATGCCCACCATGTAAATGAACAGCCAGGTGTTTTAGGCTGAACATGAGCTACTTCCCTGTTTTCTCTGCATAGTTTTACGGTTTGAACTTGGACTTGGTCCAACCTAACATGAGATAGAGAGCTTACATTTTGGCAGGTATATTATTATGGTCATTTATTTCCTGGTGAGAGAATTTCTTCTTACCTGCCAGCTTCGTCATTCTTTTGGAGAGGGGAGGAGCCCAGTATCTACATTACATAACAAAACAGAACCTTTAGCTTATTTCCAGAAACACCTGTCTCCACCGGTAATTCACCTGGCTCCACCTGTCTCCAGTGGGGACAGTCAAGATTCAGAGGGTGAATTTCAACTTAGTTTGCGCAAGAAGCCAAATAGCAAAATCCTAAATCCTTAATCTTGTCCATTTTCTAAATAATCTTATCGTTTATCAGGATCCAAAACTGACATAGACCTAGATTTGTTTTGTATACTTTTCCTGTTATGTAGCTACTTTATCTACTGGTTTATCCCTCAGGAATATTCAAACATATTCTTTGAAGCTGTTGTTAAAAGGTACAATAACCTCTGGCACCTTGACTGTAGGCCCAGACGAATTCTGTCCCATTGAAAAGTTTTGTAGCTGACCATCACTTCTTTCATGTGTAATAAAGCGATTTTAAAATTTAAAGCTCCACGTGCATATACAGTATGTAAGCTCTGGTGCTTTGGGACCCCTGGTGTGCTGTAAGATTGAATAAATTATGTACTTGATCTTCCATTCGGCACCTCAGTCCAGCTGTGTCAATGTGATCACTGCAGGTGCCAGGACTCAGGGGACAGCCATGGAGACTCTGGTGCCGGCCGAGCTGGAGCTGCTGCACTCTGACTCCCTCTTGCCTCTGGAAGAGCTGTACCTGTCTTCAGATGACTCTTTCCCCACAGGTAGGGCTAGAGGTCTGGAAATAAGACCATGGTTTAACAACAGAGGGGCAATGATGTTTGACCTTCACTGAGATTCATCAAGAGCTACAGAGCCTGGGGAAGCCAATACACTGGTTTCTTTTTCAAAACAGCCATGTGAGATCCTCAGATGAATTTGCTGTTAAAGTCTCTTTATCCTACACCAATGGCGAAACCGCTGTACAGCATTCCTGATTATACACTGAGTGGACAAAATATATTGGGGTGCACCCCCTTTGGCCTCGGAGCAGCCTCAGTTCATCAGGGCATCTCAACAAGGTGTTGAAAGCGATCCACAGGGATGCTGGCCCATGCCGAGTCCAGCTCATTCCCATAGTTGTGTTGAGTAGGCTTGTAGGAAATCTCTACTCAGAGTAGCTTGTTCCGTCTCGTCCCACAGATGTGCAATTGAATTGAGATCTGGTGCCTGGGCAGGCCACTGCATTTAGGTGAATTTCACTGTCATGTTCATGGAATCATTCCTGGACAATCTTAGCCTTGCGGCATGGGGCATTATCCTGCTGACAAAATCCATTCCCAGATGGATACACTGCTGCCGTGAAGGGATGCACCTGATCGGCAGTGATGTTCAGATATCCCGTGGCTTTCAAACGTTGCTCCCCTTTTATCAAGGGGCCCAATATGTGCCTTGAAAGCACACCCCACACTATCACACCACCTCCAGCCTGCAATGTTGACACACCACATGATGGAGGCAGGGACTCATGTTGTTTCCTCCAGACTCAGGTCCTCCCATCAGCGTGAAACAGCTGTAACCGGTATTGATCAGACCAGGCAATGTTTTTTCAATCCTCTAGTGTGCAATGTTTTCATTCCTTAGTCCACAGAAACCGCAATTTCTTGTTTTTTGTTGAAGGAAGGAGAACTCTGTAAGGTTGTCGGCTGCCCTTCCCCATTCCTGTCGAGGTGCGACGGGTTGTGTATTCTTTTATGGGTATTTTGGCACCGGTGTGGTGCTGGACTGTCAGTTGACTGACTGTAGACTGTCTGTTGATCTGCACAATTCGCGTTAGCCTCCTTTCACCTCTTTCATCAATGAGCCATTTTCATCCACTGGCCTGCCGCTGGCTGCATGTCTTTTGGGTGATGGACCATTCCGGAGACAGACAGGACACTGTTGAGCTTGGAAAAAAACACCTGGCAAATCCATCATACCCCATTCAAAAGCACTTAAATCTGCTTCCTTGCCCATTCTCCCTCACATACACCACCCATGTCTCTCTTGTCTCAAGCCTTAAAAATCTGGATTCAAGTGGATTTAACAGGTGAAATCAATTAAGGATCATAGCTTTCACCTGGATTCACCTGGTCCGTCTATTTTGAGGAAAGAGCAGTCGTCCCTAATGTTTTGTACACTCGGTGTGGCTTGACATTGCCGGATTAAAAATGGAAAACTATGCAGATCACTTGTAACATTTGTAATAATGGTATGCTTCTTCTCTTAATTGAAGATTGTTTGATATAGAGGTTTCTTGAACTGAATATCGTGTGAAACGTTCTGTTGTTTGTGTGTCAATTGAATCCTTTTCATGTATAATTGTGAATGCAGATGACGATGGCAATCAGTTGTCTTTGGAGTCTTCCAATCTCCTCGGATTGCTGTGCTCACCCTTTGACGCTGAGCTTGAGTGCTGCTACTCTCCGAGCTCCCAGCCCTTGGAAGACCGAGAGAATATTGGTAACTCATCCTACAACCCCGCACCTACTATCCGTTAGAACTATTTTCTATTGAATAGTAAATGAGCCTAAGCCTTTTCAGCCTTCTGATAGTTTAATAGTTACTCATAATGTCTGTAAGCATTTCTCTTGGCTTTAGGCTACTCAGTAAACAAGTGTTTTATTTTTAATTTCAGAGAGGATTCTCAGGTTTCTGCAGGATGACCAACCAGAGATTTTGAGTAAGTGACTCAAATCGTTATCTTTCAAACTATAGATCTTGCACGCTTTCCTTTAAAGCAGACTGAACATTTCTATTCTTTCGGAAAGGTCTGAGGAAAGCATATTATGTCACATGCAGGGTTTTTTGTGGATGTGGCAGAGCATTGCAGTATGGATAATCAAAGGGGAAGTTCTAAATATGTTACAGCTCGATGTTGACATTCTAAAGCTTATTCGTGCACAAACAATTATTCATTGCCAGTAACAATTTGGTTCATTGTAATGATATTTATTCATATCTGAGTGCTTCTAGCTTTAGTGCGTAATGTTTAGTATTAGTTTTTAGAGTGACTGTGTCTATATCAATTTTCACTTCTGCTTTTTTTTTTCAAAATAGCAGGTGAAACTGAGATGAGAGCGACAACGCCAGAAGCTACAGGTTTGGACACAATAAGCCAGGAAACAAAAGTAAAAAAGACAAACTGTGAAAAGAGAGGTGAGCAGCAAAACCCTCACAGAGCGGAGCACGTGAGACCATTAATGTTTTTATGTGTCTGCAGAGAATATTACTGGGATTTTGTTTACGGAGTATTTGAGGAAATGACCCTACTTTTTCTTAAATTCCAGATCACAATTCTACTGGAATCATTTCTGACGATTCACCCAAGCTAAAACGTAGAAGAGGTACTCCAGTTTGCTTTTACTTTATAATTTGTCTGTGCATTATAGAACTTGGCTTTCGCCTACCATTTAAGTTAAGCATAGTATTGCAGGGGCATTTTGTGCACATATATAATTCTTTTCTTTCACAATTTGGATGCAAAATGCAATTTTTTACTGCAGTTGGGTTTTTTAATACAGTATGTTGAAATAACTTTGCATTTGTTCATAATGCACTTCATAAGCACTCATAAGTATTATAAGTATTTGAAAAATAATATAATATAAATATAATTGCATGAGTGTTACATTTCAGTTTGCATTTGAGACAGAAGAAAATGGCAAGCAAGTACTGCTGCACTGTACCTCATTCTTGGTATTCAACTTTTTTTCAGCAGCAGAGAATAGCAACACTTTGCGCTGGAGATGAACTGAACTTTTCCCGTGTTTTGTTCCTCCAGATCCCAGACACTGTCGGAGGACACCGAAACTGAACAAGAGAAATAAAAAATGTCTTGAAGTCACAAACAGTCTGCCAAATAAAGGTGATTTCACAGTGATTGAAATGACAGTTGTAAACAGGAAATGCCCTTCTTGCACTGAGCAACCACTTTTTGACCTCTTTAGCACAACAGGTGGCAAAGTCTTGTCTCGACTGAAAAGTAGTGGTCTCCTTTTCCTTTTGTGCTTTCAGCTTTCAATCACAGTGTTGCTAACTGAAAAATACAGTTATAAATATGATTTTTTTAATTTGCTGTCAGCTGTTTCAAACTCTGCCTTGAGCCAAATCCTAAAGAAGAACGAATTTAATTTTGCTGATGCGATTCTGAATTTCTTCATCCTATCCAACCGTTGAGTCTGTAAGGCTTGTAATTTACAGCTGTTTGATTAGTTTTGTTACTGTCTATAAAGAAACATATGTCCTACCTAAAGCTCCCGTGATCACATTGTAATATAATAAGATAATATTGACAGTTTTACTTGTCCTTTTTAACTGCAGGTGATCACAACGGAAAGATAGAATAGTTAGAATAGCTTCTTGCCTGTGGTTTTATTGTTGTCATTTCCTTTTTATTTCTGATGTTGTCGCACAATTTTAAAGGCTGCCTGTTTGGTGACTAAGAATGCTTCTAATTAAATTGTGTTTTGACAGGTATCAGTCCTCCAGCAGTGAGCACCTGTAGCTTAATGACCTTGCCGGCTGCTCAGGGAGTCTTGCAGATAAATTCAAGCCCAGTTCCTCAGGTTCTGCAGTTTTCTATCCCTGCAAATGGAAGTCCAACACTTATTGCACACTGCACTAGTAAGTGTGTGCGCCTGACTGTAACTTGCCACTGCCAGTGAAACACTTGCTTTAGATGGAGTCATTTGCCAATATGAAGTTTTGATGTCAATGAGAGACTCCATACAAATCGGGTTTCAATTTTGAGCTCACTATCAAGGAACTTTTAGAATGCCTGCCAGCCCAGAAGATCCAAAATAGTCAGATGTTTGAAAATCCAGAAGGATTTAGTAAATCTACTACTCTTTAGATTGTAAATATCATCCTATTTATTTAAACAGTGTTTGGCTAAACATGAGCAAAACATTGAAATTTCTGGTAGCAACATTTGTATGAGAAAACTTTCAGGAGTTCAAGCACATGGGTAATCTTAATGTAACTGTGTCTTTTTACTTATCTGTCTTTGAATACTACAAACTACCAAATAATAATTTGGTACTACAAATATTTATCACCGTGTGTTTTTTTTAAAGATCAGCCCAAGCACTCCTTAGTGATCCTGGTACTGTAGATGTTGTGTGGAAACTCAACACTTTCAATGAATTTATATGGTGATTGTGATGATAACGACAGTGGTGTTGGAGGTGTTGAGGGCGATGATTTTGATGGTGATGATGACGGAGATCTTTCCCTTCACTGTTCTTTCACAGGCAGCTTTGTGATGAACAATGCTGCAGTCCAGGTTTACCCTTCTTTCCCACAACACATAATCGCCACACCGCACACCTCTCCTGTAGGCAGCTCTGTCAATTCAAGAGGACCCACCTTTGTGCTAGGTGAGTCAAGTACAGGTCTAACTGGAACCGTGAATTATGCTACATACTACGATTGTTTTTCTGTGAAAAATAACTAATCATGCATGTTTAGAATTCTTCTTCTACTCAAAATAATGTCACAGCTAATATTCATTAGCACAATGGCCTTTGAGTGAGTGAATGAGTGAATGTACTGTATTAAATTTGCAGTGTTTGTGAGGTTTCTTTAGTTAGGATGAGTATTGATGACAAGGATTACTTCTTGTGTGCTGTTTTGTGACTGGCTTGGTTCTCTCTGTGCCTACATTTTTCCTTCCGTGATATCCCTGGTAACGTGAGCAGCTCTGTAGGTTTGCTTTTTTTGTTGTTGTTCTGTTCTCTTCTCATGTCTCTTTCCTTTGCAGTGCCTCCTGTGTCACTCACTTCATCTCAGCCTCAGGCTTCTCCGAGCTCCCCAGGTAAATGACACGACCACTACACAAGCGATGAAACGGTATAGAGGCATCTGAACGTGCTACAGAGCTTTGTTCCAGACCAGGGACTGTCTTAAAGCAATTGGGTAACAGGGTTTATATTGTCTTCTCTTCTTCAGCTCCAGGGTCAGTTGTGGGCCCAGAGAGTGTGAACCAGACCTCTGTTATCTCCTCTGCTGATTCCATAAGCACTCTTTCTCCAGCATCAGTCTCCTCCCCGGCTTCTACAGCAGGTACAGTGCATCTTTTATGATGGTGTGGATTCAGTGCAGTGCAGAATAGCCTGTAGCATCAAGACATCTTGTATTTTCCTGATTGAGTTAGACATTTAAGATACCTAAGACTTTGGCACAACAGTGCAGTAATACATATTCTTAAATAATCTGTAGTGAGAAGCCATGCTTAATGTGTGAGGAAACAATAAGCTCTTGTGGCCTATGGATTTGTAATATCTTCTAAGATCTTTAGTAAAAGACTGTGCACGGTTAGGAACAGAATGTGTTAGACTCCACAGACATTGCTGCAGAGCTGCAAAAATGGTCCTTCTGACTTCCTGATTGATTTTCAGATACTGGAATGTCACCCCACAAAGGATCAACAGCTCCTCCCCTTCAGTCTTCTCAGTGTTCTGAAATGCCCAGTATGTTCCTCTTTGCTTTTCTGGTTCTTCGAATCATATCTGTGGAATCACACGGAAGTAAAATGTGTTCTTTTTCGATTGTTGTGAACGACAGTGACAAGAACCTGGCGATTATGCTATTATTCCTGCACATGATCTGGTCGCTGAAAGTTTGGGAATGACAAAAATGATCTCAGTGCTGCATAATTATATAACAAAAGCTATAAAGAGGAGGCCATTTGCCCTATCAGGCCTATTTTGTAGTTAATTGATCCAGGGATCTCATCCTACAAAATAATTGAAATAGATTCTAAAACAAATTAATATAGGATCCTATACGATTGAAAAAAAAATCTTCAGCCGAAACTCCTGTAATAACAGGAATGAATGTAAACGTAGAAATAAAGTGGATTTTATTTTACTGCATGATTTCATTTTTATTTCCACTAACGCTCACTAATTTGTAAATATTGCTAATGATTCTAAATTCTGTTTTGATGTTTTCAGAGTGTGTTGAAGACTATATTGCAACAGCAAAGGCCTTCATGTATGACAACTGCCAGTTAATGGCCATTGAGAATGAAGTAGCTCTGGACTCCCTTTACATTGATGTGCCTTTGGTGCAGAGACAGATTAAGACCAGAACAGGAAAGCACGTCAACAAATACCAGGAAAAGGAACTCCTACTTTTTGACATGGCAGAGAGAAGGAAATTTGAAATAAAGAGAAGCCAGTTGTTTGAGGAAGCAGGACAGAAACCAAAAGAGTTGATTGCTTTGCTAGGGAAAGCTGGAATGGGCAAGAGCACCTTCATCCAGAAGCTGTGCCTGGACTGGTCAAAGGGAGACTTCCAGCACTTTGAGCTGGTCTTCTTTTTTGAGACCAAGAAGTTGAATCTGCCGGACCAAACATACAGCCTGAAGAACCTGCTGTTCGATATCTTTCCTGCGCCACCTCCCAGAAATGTCGACGAAGTCTTCAGATACATACTCTCCAACCCACAGAAAGTTCTGATCATATTTGATGGATTTGACGATTTTCAGGACTCTGAAGGTCTTTTACAATGCCCTGCTACCAGTTCCACAAAAGATGTTTACACCATTAAGCAGTTGTTTTCAGGTCTGTTCCAGAAGAAGCTGATTGTTGGCAGCACAATATTAATTGCTGCCAGGCCTAAAGAAGTTTTGAACCAGTTTTTAGGCAAAGTAGATAAAATCGTTGAGTTATGTGGTTTCTCAGAAGAGGAAATACAACTTTACACAGAGAGGTATTTTAAGGATACTTCATGCTACGACTGGGCTTGGACAAAAGTAAGGAACCACAACTTTCTCTCTGCTTTGTGTTTTAACCCTTTAATATGCAGGTTTACATGCTTCCTTCTTGAAAATGTAGGTAGCAAGAAAAGCTTACCATCAACGCTTACAGAACTGTACCAGCAGGTGTTTTATCAGAAATTGCACATGAATACAACCAAAGCAGATCCTGGTAAGAGGCAGGAGAAACAGAATATTCCAAAGCTCGGGGCGCTGGCGTGGAGAGGAGTGAAAGACCACAGCTGTCTCCTGAGCCACGAAGATTTGTGCTCCACGGGGCTGAAGGAGTTTGGCTTGAACAGTGGGATTCTTACACCATATATTTTGAAGAGGAAGGGAGATGAAGAAGAGTTTGGCTGTGGATTTACAGATTTGTTTGTGCAAAATTTCTTGGGAGCTCTGCATATCACTGCAGCCAAAGAACTCAATGATAAGAGCCTTTTGACACAGACCATGCTCCAGCAAAAGAAGAAGAAGCCCCAGGATGACTGGCTGGATGTCACACGGAGGTTTATGGTGGGGCTGCTGTTCCAGAAGACACAGAAACATTTGGATTGGCTTCCTGGCAGCACCAAGAAGAGACTGGCAAAGCGAAACACTATTGAAGCACACTTGGAGAAGCTCAGGCCGTCTGAGCTGAGCGCCAACCGCCTCCTGGAGCTGTGTCACTGCGTGTATGAAACTGGAAGCACGAAACTCCTGAGAAACCTGGCTCAGAAACTGCCTGAAGAGCTTTCGTTTAGTGGCACCCCTCTCACCCCACCTGACGTCTTTGTTCTAAAGTACCTCCTGAAGGAAACCAAAGACAACCAGAAGAATTTTTCCATTGACATACAGGAGACAGCCATTGACCTCCCAGGACTGAGAGAGCTGGTGGGATTAAACTGTGTAACATCTTTCAGGTCAGGAATCCAAAATCAATTTGTTCTTTTATAAATGTACTTATATATGTGATGGGGACACTACACTGTAAAAAGGCCCCGTCTTTTGGATGAGACGTAAAACCGAGGTCCTGACTCTCTGTGGTCATTAAAAATCCCAGGACGTTTCTCGAAAAGAGTAGGGGGTGTTATCCCGGCGTCCTGGCCACATTTCCCATTGGCCCTTACCAATCATGGCCTCCTAATAATCTATGAATTGGCTTCATTACTCTGTTCTCCTCCCCACTGAGAGCTGGTGTGTGGGGAGTGGACTGGCGCACTATGGCTGCCGTCACATCATCCAGGTGGGGCTGCACACTGGTGGTGGTGGAGGGGATCCCCATTACTTGTAAAGCACTTTGAGTGGAGTGCCCAGAAAAATGGTATAGAAGTGTAAGCAATTATTACTATTATATATACATTATATTACAGTTTATACTCTATATTTGATTTGAGTGTAAGTATTGAAACTCCTGAACAACCATTAATTAGTCTTAATGAAAAATTGATACATTCATAACTCTTTCTTAATACTTTTTCTTAAATTAAGCAATATGTATAATGTACGGCATACTATGTTAATTATTCTGATCTGCTTGTCTTATGTAGGGCTTCTGTTGCTGATACCATAAGCCTGTGGGAGTGTTTGCAGCAGACAGGGGAGAAAGACCTCTTAAAAGATGCCGTGGCCAAGTTCACTGTTAACCCTTTCAAAGCCAGACAGCTCAGTGACGTAGAAAACCTGAACCAGCTTGTTCAGATCTACAGACAGAAGAAGCTGCTTTTATGGTAAAGAGGCCATAAACTATACAAGACAATACAATACTGTATTTGAAGTAGGGAGCTGCATCAGCATGCATAGGCGGCAAAGGAACAAGTAAAGGTTTATTCCGTGCTGAAAAAAGAAGAAAGGAAACAACGTTTCGGCCGAAAGGAAACGCTGTGTTTCTTTTCTGCTCTTTTCAGCACGGAATAAACCTTTACTTGTTACAATACTATAGTATACTTTTTATGTACTCTTAAGTGTGAAAGGACATACTGTATGAAAGACCTTGAAGACTGTGGCTTCCCTCTTCTGTCCTTTCACTACCATTTTTTTTATTTTTCTCTTTTTCCTTTGCTCATCTCTTCCAAATCTCTGGTTTCCTTTTTCTTCTCATGTTTTCATGTTATTGTTGGATTTACCCAGTTTGTTTAGGCAGTCTTTTGTGCCACGGCGACTGTTCACATTTGTTCAGTATCGTATATGGTACCATGTAATCTGCTTTCTTCTCCCTGAAAAACCAAAGAAATGGATTGAACATTAGGGAAGCATCTGGATTTCTAAAACACATTTGAGATAAAAATGACATAACTGTCCTGAATTTTTGTCAGTACAGATTATTACGGTGGATGGTGAAACTGCAAATACTACTGACTAATTGCAAAACCTGTTGACATTTTCGTACTGTAGTGACTCTGCTGATTCAGAGACGAGGCCAGATGGGGACACCTTCCATGTTCCGGCTGTGAATAACCTCCGGAAGCTGGAATTTGCGTGAGTGCTGGAGTCTGGGTGAAATCGGAGGTCTGTGGGGTTCCTGCATGTCAGCTGGTACTTAAGAATGAGCTGCACTGAGCTTGGCCCTTTGCTAGGATGAAAAAGTAGAGCTGACTGTAGCCTTTAGGACATACTGTAAGAGCACCCAGAGTGACTGCACTTACCCTTCATTTTCTAATACAGCTAGGGTATTGAGACTGACAACAGTCACAGGAATGCGGTGTCTGTGTAGCAGAAGATATCCAGTTTTGGTCTGATCTTGACTTGCTGGTGTATTTTCTCTCCAGGCTGGGCCCAGAGAATGGATATTTGGGGTTTCTAAGGCTTGTGGAGGTCCTGCCCACTCTACAGTGGCTGCAGCACTTAGAGTAAGTGATTCCGTGAGAATTCGCTGACGTAGAACTCTACTTCACTGACCCTACTTCACCCCTGTCAGGATCTGCACTGCTGCTTCTTCTTTCACTGGGCTCTGTGTCTTCCTCGTCATCCAGCTGGCCCCTCTCACCCAAGGGAGATCCTGCCCGAGATTGCCATCATCAAAAACAAACTTGTATATGGCCAATAAAGTGATCTCTTATCTCTAGAATATTGAGCAATCTCTAACCTATTGGCAATTCAGAATTAGTAACATTACTTGTAAATGTTTATTTTTATAGCATTTCCCAAGGCTCTTCTATGCCTGGACCTTGACAGACATGAGTCTAAAGCATAAAGGAGTTAAGATTGTGTCCTGCCCTTTTGTTTTTCACAGATTTTTTTTTTATTTAAGTACTGAAGTTGCTGATCAAACTTTCTTTTTGTTCAGCCTGGAAGGCTTGACTTGCAATAAAATAGGAGACAGAGGAGCAGAGAAACTGGCTGAGATCTTGCCGTGCTTATCATCACTTGAGACTCTTAAGTAAGTCACATCTTTTGAAACAATTTAAGTGGTTTCTAAATCTAAATGTAAGTAGTATTTAAACCCTGCCCTGTTGTCAGTGGTTTGCACGACCTTTTTGTGTGCCTTTTTAGATTATTTTTCTATTACTGGCTGATTACTGGATAGTCTGATCCAGTGCCTGATATGACCCCTCTGCTGTAGTTATATGCAGTAGGAATGTGTGTTACGAAACTGAGTAACAACTGTGATTAAAAGGAAGTTATCTTTGGCAAATGGGTAAGAGGAAGTCAGTGTCTTATAAAACAATATTTTGAAGTGTTCTCTTCAGGTAATATCCAACATGAAAACACTGTGATAAATAATTGGTCGGCTGATTTTCAAACATACACCTTCATAATCTAAGTTACAACAGTAAAAATCAGTATCTTATCATCTGCAAGACTCAAGCATCCTGCTCTTTTCTTTCAGCCTATCCCAGAACTGCATTGGAGATCAAGGGGCTGAGAAACTGGCTCAGACTCTTCCCTCTCTTCTATCACTACGGAGCCTCAGGTAAAGTCAGGAGGATCTGTTGGGGTTTTTTTATGTGTGGGACAGGAACTACAATTTTTTTCACAATTCTTATTATTTCTTCTTTCTTGTATCTAGCTTATACAGTAATTCAATTGCTGATAGTGGAGCAGAAAGCATGGCACAGATACTTCCAGAGATGACGTCCCTCACAGATCTGGAGTGAGTTTTCATGTTAATGATGCTTTTTCTTTCCAGAGCTTCTCTGTCCTGTTTGTCAAATATACTGTATTTGGCCACTCTGCCTCTCCCCTGCTCCTGCCTCCTCCTCTCTCCTGGCTTTTGTTTTCCCATGCTATATTATCTTTCCTGACTGCCCTGTCTTTCTTACACCCGAAGAAGGCTCCACAGCCGAAACGTTGTGTTTTCTTTCTTCTCTTTTCAGCCTGGAATGAACCTCTTACTTGTTCCCTTGCTGTATTAGCATTATATATTGTATTAGAATATAAAATTATCTGTATTGTCCTTACTTTGTACCCAATCCCTATTAACTTTTTGGCAAAGTAAACATTTACTTAAAGTGCCAGCTACAACACGCACAGCAACAATGAATTTGCTTTTGCTAGGCTAGTATTTTATCGCACATTTCTGAGGACTGGTTTAGCTTATGGATGTGCCTGTGTCGAACGATGTCTAAGCCTGAATTGTAATGTTTTCATTCCTAGTGTGAAATTTAACAAGATCACAGATGTTGGGGCCCTTAAGCTAAGTGAAAGTCTGAGGAGGTGTCCATGGATTAAAAGCATTGCGTAAGTAGCCCAAAACCAGTTGTGTGCCTGTATCCCCTGCAGTCACTGGAAAACCTTAAGCAACGAAAGTCTAATGCAGTGGTACCATAAGCATCGGGCTCCTGTGACACATATAGTTCTAAAGGCATTTGCTTTAAATAGGTTTTGTTTGAAACAAAATTTGTGGTACCATGATCTAAAAATACATTCAGAAATACTAAATACACTATTGTATTTTGTGAGAATGCTGACCTTATACTGGTATGAAGAAAGAACCCAAGCAATATGATTACAGCCACTATTTCTTAAAGTAGGAATTCCTTTTATTTTTAATATCATACTATTAAAGTTCTGTTGCAGACAAATATAATGACACATTATGTTAGACTCTATGAAAATCCGATTGAGGCTGTTGGCTTAAAATGGCCATTGTGTACACTTTTCACTTCCTCTGTGATTCTATGTTAATCGTTTGTGAAATGTCTGTGTTCCATTTCCTGTCTTGCCTCAGAATGTGGAATCATTCTATCCCACACGGAGTTCTAGAACATTTAAAACAAAAGGATTCTCGGATCAACCTGCTCTAGAACAGCAAAGCTGCTGCCCATCAGGACAACGGAAAATGCACAGAGCAGGACAAAAGCTCCACACAAATGCGGCACGGGAGGGCTTTTTATTTTAAATTTGGGGTTCTGATGAATACGCCAGTCTGCCGTGTGTCTGAAATGCGGGACTCTTTTCAGAGTTTGAATGCTATAAACTGGCCAGCACTCTGGAGACACTGAAACCATTAAAAGCCCTTACTACTGTATGTGTGAAGGTGGGATCTATTGGTTTGATCTTGCTGGTTTGCACTTGTCGAGTCTGCAGCCCAGTATGACCAAGATTCCTACAGGACTAGAGCCTAGCTGGCCAGGCAGTAGCAGGGTGAGGTGCGTTTGAAGTCAGCTGGGGTATGTGGGCTCCATCGCAGGCTGTGATCTTTCCTCTTATGATGATTCAGGGGTTGGAGTGGTGAGTGGCAAGTCTTCCATGGTTGGGGATGTTTAGAAAAAGAAAAAATAACTGAAAATCCAATGCTGGAATTGGACTGTGTTCCGCTAAAACCATGTTACTTGTGAATTGTTTGACGAATGAGTTGCACTTTCTAGTCCGGTCTAAACTACAGCACTTACTTTACTGGAAATGTAGCTATGCCCTGCATACAGTGTAATAGGGTTAATCTTGCAAGGCATGACTAGAAAAATGTATTACAGTGGAAAATGCATCTTTCGAAGGATGACCAAGGCTAGGAAGAGGTTTGTTTTGTAAAAAGCAATTTCTGTTGTGGCCACATATTTTTAATTACTGAATTGCACTAGAATTTAAAGACAAGCTTTAACATTTCTAACACTGAATTGTCTGCTTTTTAGAACAAAGTATGAATATGCTTGATGTAAATACAGATATACACTATATGTACAATATTAAAAGTGAAACACTATGAGAGTTGGCCTTTTTTGAAAGTCCTGACAATACATGGGTGAGATCTAGTATCTAGATCTCTCCTAACCTCTGTGATGTCTTGTTCCAATACAGTAAATGCCTTCAAACATAGAAATGAAAAAAAAAAGTATATTTTATGCTGCTTCTGTGTTTAATGTACCAAAAATGTTTTCTTTTTTATGTACCATAGCTGTGTTTTATACTAAGAACGTTTGGCGTTACTTCCTAAGACACTTGCACTAAACTCAACTGTGAGCTTAGCATATTCAGGGTGTTGTTCCTTTCCTTCAACAGCCATACACTGTTATCTGTGTTGGAATTTATGGTGAATGAGAGTATTAAACAAAAAACAGAGGCCTGGACCACAGCTCCTCTGTCGTGTATATTTTATCTTAAAATTTCCACTCTGCTGTGCCGGCGTGTGTCGCTCTTTGGTGATCGCCAGATGTGACTTTGTCACCATCTGTTTCTGATCACATCAGTGATTTTCACCACGTTCTTGATTTAAAAATAAAACTGCCGTGCCACCACGAGAGGCATTCATGTGTGTTTCATAGCACTGTCCACTAAACAGAAGAAACGGAAGTTTGATTGTAGATGTGTCTGAATGACTGAAAAGCAACAGTCCTTGTCAAAGTACACTTCTTATTCTTACGGTAAGAACGAAAATAGTTTTGTATGGGAAATTACATTCCATTAGACAAGTACTTGTCGTTCCTAAACAGTAAGAGGAAAACTGAGGCACCGTTTTATGCCTTCCTGTAAGAAACTGCTAATTCAATTATACTACTGTAAAGCTGGAAAATGGTCTGTTAACCAGAATTACCGGGACGATAAGGTTTGGGGGCACTGCTCATAATGACACACGCGTGTTATCATTTTCATGCATTGCGTGTACCACATTAAAAAAAAAAAGTCATACAAAACTGCATTGTTGATGTCAGCCCTATGATCTCATGTTTATTCCACCCTTGCCATCGTTTCCTGTTGTGCAAACTGGGGGGGGGGTTTCCGAGCAGGCTGGCCGCCCACCCTCCCAAAAGAAGGCTTTAAGCTATCCGGGGGGAGGAAGGGATACACAGGATACTCACAGTTGTCAATCTTTAACCCAGATAGCAGGGGGAAATCCCATGTGACCAGTCTCAAGTCAGTAACCCTGAAAAAGTAAAAACTGTCATTTAACGGTCGAGTTTCATTATGAACAGAGACCCTGTGTTTTAATCACTAGGCACAAGTGGGAAAAGGGTTATTTCCAGTGAACATGACAACTCAAACCTCTAACTAACCCCCCCCCCCCCGCTGTATTAAACTACACTTTTCTAGGAAGTTTTCACTGAAGAAGTGCATCTCCTTTTAAATCGGTAAGATACAGTCAAAGCCAGCGTAGAAACTTTTGTTTTTACAGAACTGGTTTTGCCGAAGTCACTCGGATTTGCGTCCGTTCACAGAAATGAAGGGACAAAACAAATGAGAAACCCGCGAAGAAAATATTTCAGCAGGCTTCCGTTTACATTTTCTGGTCGAGAATGGGAAAGGTACACCTCTCCGAACGGGGTGAGACAGCAGGGCAGCGTACAGCCCCACGCGGCATGTTTCACGACGGTGTTCTTACAATATGAGAACAGGTTCTGGCCTGGCAGCCCTATTTCCCCAAACTGGAACAGAACTGAACACGTGTGCAACAAGCTGGGACAGTATGTGCCTAGGTCTAGGGCTCAGAGACCAGCGAGTGGACACTTGCTTGTCCAGATTCTGGACAGTAACGATTGGACAGAATTCCACAGGAAGTCGTAAGTAATACAATTAAGTGTCAGATGTACAGCCTGTGCCGCTTCCCACAGTGGTCATTAACATTACTACCTGGGCGTTTCACGAACAGAGCAGGGGTGTGACCCTGGTGTCCTCACTGAATTTTCCATTGGCGTTTACTGATCATGGCCTCCTAATAATCCCCATTTATGAATTGGCATCATCACTCTGTTCTCCTCCCCACTGAGAGCTGGTGTGTGGGGAGTGACTGGTGCACTATGGCTGCCGTCACATCATCCAGGTGGGGCTGCTCACTGGTGGTGGTGGAGGGGAGTTCCCATTACCTGTAAAGCGCTATTTAAGTTTAAGGATTTATCATTATTAATATATAAATTAAAAATAAGAATAATAATGAATAATCTGTGACAAACCCGTGTTGATGAGCCTTCCTAATGAAATCTGTTAATCAGCGCAATGAATTTATCAATGTCAGTGCAGCTGCTACAAAAAGATTTTCTGCTAAGAAATTTGCTGTAGTTAGAAGTTTCTTTTCATGCTCAATACACAATTTGCTTGAGATCCATATCAAGAAAGATCATTGTTATGAACTGAAAGAGCCTTGGGATAAAAAACAGAAGGTTCTGTCCCTTTTGCAATCTTTGATTAAAAAACTGTTAGAACTCAAGAGTACGTTTAATCCTAGAAGAATTCACTTGCTGTGTTCATTCATCTTTTATTTAGCATCTTTTATTTATTTAACGACTTAAAATGAGACATCAGTCAACGTATAGGTTATAAGAAAAGTGCTATTCCATTTGAGGGTTCAGTGACAAAAATACCTGGAGAAAAAAGTAAGAGCATTTTTGAGAGCGAGAGATTTGAGAGCAGAAAACTATATATAGAATAAACTCTTCAAACATAAGCATTTAGTGTTCTCCCATATGTCCGAAAAAAAACTGTTTTTGACCATATCTTCTTGTCATGATTGGACAGCTTAGTATTTAACATAGCTTTTGAAACTTACATGGTTGTAACACTGTAGAATTCTGCATGCCAACAGATAAAGATCAAGATTTATAAACCAGCTTTGGTTATTTTTCCATGTGAAAAACTTGCCAAATTTAAAGCTCAAAAGATGCTGGTGTTCATACCACCAAGATGTGTGGGATACGTCACAGAGTTTCCGGTGAGAAGGTCATTATTTTTTAGTTTATGTACTTCAGTCCTGTCCTGAAATAATGTTCTATCTTTTACAGTGATTTTCTGCTTCCCAGGTACCAACTTCACCAAAGCTTTAATTCAACAGTAATTCATGAGGCCAAAGACTTTACATTCCCCCTCGAAACTCTCTTCGACATCCCCCACATTTTGTAAGAGACTTACCCAGAACAGTTTCAGAAAACTCTGAAAGGTGTGCACTGAGATATTATACCTGGGCAGTGTGCACTTTACGTCTGGAAAAAGTGCAATCTAAGCAGGTAAGACCCAAAGGGGAAATTAAAACAGAATCCCTATGTAATGAAAATCTGCTGCCAATGCGATAAAAATGCTGTGTCAGAAAGGCCATGAGAATCAATACTAAACCCAGTAATAAAGGAAAACAATATGCTATATATATATAATGAAGCAGCCATTTGATTGCTTTTTCCTATAATGTACGTTCATATCCCATCACTCCATCATAAAGAGTATTTCTGACCTTATGCCACAGCGGAGTACAGTACATTTATTCAGATTTTATTTGGACTTAATAAATGTACTGTACTGTATGCGATTGGGCTGCCATTAATAATGTGAACATGGTGAAGGGGGTGCAAACTGCATCACAAAAATCGGTGATACGCATGTTCAACACTGGCTGGAATTCTCCAGCTTTGCAGACAGAAGGGTGATAAAGCGCATCGGTGTCACGTTGGCTGCCTGTATTGCTTTTGTGTTCCATAGTGCGATACTACTGAATTAGACTGTCCAAGCAGTTCGTATATCCAAGGCAACAGCATCGAGGAGACAGGTCACGTCCAGCTCCTTAGGTAGGGCCAGTCTCTGTGAGTATGGTGACCCTGCAGAGAGGGGGAACAGACAGATTGTATCACTTTAGCTTAAAAGAAAGAAAACTCCCTTGGGTCTGAGGTTATCAGATTATGTTCTTCTTCACAAAAAACCCATGATGTGGCAAATTTAACCAAAAGACAAGGACACAAAATTAGTAATTTGGTACATGATACGTTATATCTGGATATGTAAGTTCTGAGGGTTAATAATCCATTTTCTACCACTTCTGCTGAGTCACTGATGACAAAGTTCTCAGTTCTGCATCTCAACTCAATCACATGACAAATCAAAAGGAATATGAGCAACTTGATACACAGCAATTTGCTGGCAACACAGGGGCATGAACTAGGAGCACCAAGGTGACAAACTGGGGTCACTGGTCAGCGTTTAGTATAAGGAATCTGTTGGACGTAATATACCTTTCAAACGAGTGAATTTGTGGTGTTCACTCTACGGAGAAACCAAATATCCGAAAGCTAAATGACTCATCCTTAGCGTATTTTACTTCAATTGGACAAGCTTGATTTTCTCCTGACATATCCAAGCCATCCATTATGCAGCTGCTGAACGTTTTGAGGCTTGAGCAATGTTATTTTCGTCCCTAGGGGATGAGTACTTCCCACCTAACTCACAGCAACACAAACACTGGCATGGTTACCTCCAGTGCCTACACTGGGTCTTGTTATAGTCAGCAACGTCACGTGTATCTGGAACAAGAAAAGCAAATGCATTTGCTTGATTTCTTAGACAGGCGGTGTTTAAGCAACTTACTCTTTAAGACTCAGTCCTCGATGACTGCTCCTCATCTCAGGACTCCTGCGCGCCATGATCTCGGAGACATAAGACCCTCTCCGGGTCCGGCACACCTGATCGATACACACCGTAGTCTTTTCCGCCGGAAATACTGTAGTACGAAAACCCTGCAAATGGGCCTTTGCGGAATTCAGTCCAGGTATCCGTCGAAGACGTCCATTTCTGTGTCGGTGTCGTAAGGAACTGAACCCGGGTCGGAGAGCACTCCTAGGTCTACCAGCGCTTGGTCCATATCCTCCGGCAGGAAAACGATCCCAACATTGAGGACTATGTACTCCATTAAGAAAGCATAGTACAGGATCAAAACGTTCACGAAAAACAGGCCGAGATAAAACATATAGGGAAGCTCATTAAATAGCGATTCCACCGAATCTAGCTGAGCATAAACCGAGAGGCTCATAGAATCGCCACCGAGCGTGCTTACAGCCAGACACTGACGGAGAAGGAAGGCAGCCCCACCTCTGTGGTCGGCAAAGATTTACACCGCTCACTGCAGGCATCAGATGGAGGAGTCATTGGAGAGTCCATAGCACTGTCTGCAGTACGACACCGCAGTAACTCCCTTCAAAAAAAACAAACGAATGACCCCAAAGCAGCGTTGATCTTGTTGAAGCATAGGTGAAGGGACAGAATCGATGCAGATGGCACTGGCAGTAGCGCAGACCCTGTCGTTTCACCGAGGTTTTCCACTCTTAAAAGTCCGAATGAACGGCGATTCAATCAAAAACTGCGATTTCAAACCGTTTTACACCACTGCATCCAGACGTACCATCACAAATTAAAACTGCCCCCCCACAGGATCATTTACGATTTGTGTTACTTTAATCTACAAACGTTTTAGAGTTAAAAAAGAGCCGTTAAACTGCACTGTTTATTAAATAATCTCTCTTTTCAGACGACTTCATCAATTTCTATTATTATGGTATCGGCAACGCTGCCTCTGCGGGACTTTTGGAAGCCTGAGTTCTGCAGGATTAATCTATCATTGGTCAGTTGCTCTCAATGCAATCTTCTGATTGGCCAATGTAGCTTTCATTCTTGGACCTCCCGCCTCTCTGCTGTTATTTTCATGAAAAATCAAGCGTCGCTTACAATTAAACGTAGCAGCACCTTGACGTCACCGTCATGTGACGACGCACCGCCGGAAGCTGTAGTTTGTGAAAAGCTGCTGCTACGCTTTGTGAAGGCGCCAGCGACACTTACAAAAACTACAAATTCCATGGTGCTTAGTGGGGGCAACCCGGATGTACCTGTTCCAGCTCTTTAGTCGTTCGTCTGAAGTGTTAGGGGAGGTTTAGTGTTTGCTGTTATTTCCGAATGTTGATGTGTTGTTTATTTTTTTCTGGCTTCGTTTGCTTTGACAGTGGTGGTTATGGACTGATTTGAGAACCCTACGCATAACGCACATTAACAACAAGACGATGTTCGGCCGGTCTCGAAGCTGGGTGGGAGGTGGTCAGGGAAAATCGAAAAGCATTCACTCTTTGGATCATCTGAAGTAAGTGGCAGCTTCAGTTTCCGAGTGTTCATAGTTCCTTTCCTTACAATATCCAGCTGCTTCGTTTGAAGTTGTAGGAGGGATCGCCGTATTTAACCGTAGTGCATTTTATTGTAATGTATATTTCTGAAATAAGTTACAGGTGTCTGTAGCTGATCTTCCCTCGCCTTAGCTATCGGTGACTTGATCAAATTCCTTGCTGTTTACGTTTATATTTACACTTATATTTACCCGACTTAAGCTCAGTACCAATGCTGATTCTGGTTACATTGTGTAAAGCTCTGCTCTATTTGCCTTATTTGATTAATATTTATATTTTGCTAAGTAAGAAAGGCGATACACTGCTGTGTGTTTTTAAAATCCAATGTCAGCCTGCGGAGGAATAAAGTGACGAGTCAATAGTGTTAATGTTTGTTTATCTTAAGCGTTGCTCCTTTTCAAGTTATGTTTTGAATACTTTCTAGTATCTGTCTATTTGTATGAGTAAACATTGAGTTAAAAAAGCTAAATTTGTAACATAACTTTAAGTCCCTAAACACTAACCCGAGTAACACACTTGCATGTAGTGATAGATGCCTTTTCCCGTTTTATTTAGAGCACCTCGAGATGATTTAATGAATATAAAATATCTATATATTTTAAAGGCATTTGTTTTTCTGCCATGCAAATCTTTCTTTCCCTGTAGTCTTCTGTTTACATCTTTTTGCACATTGTTCTGTCTCTTGCTCAGGTATATGTACCATGTCCTAACTAAGAACACGACAGTGACTGATCACAACAGGAACCTGCTTGTGGAAACGATTCGGTCTATTACTGAAATTCTTATCTGGGGAGATCAGAATGACAGCTCTGTGTTCGAGTAAGTTTTCTAAGCAGACTGCTTAAGTTATTTTCTATACTCAGAAAACTGAGTGATGGGCTGAAGCATAGCTTCAGCTTTTAGACATGAAAAAAGAAAAGGAACAGTGCTTTCTCAAACTTGTCTACTTGCATCTTTTTTTATTTTACAAAGTTATTTTTTCCCCTCTGTTTGCCGGAGGTAGTTTAATAATAATAATAAACTTTATTTTATATAGCGCCTTTAAAGGTGGCTTCTCAAAGCGCTTTACAGGATGGCAATAACAATAAATATGAAGACTACAACAATAAATAAGAAGATTTCACAAGATAGTACACAATTATAATTACAACAATACAACAATAACAATAGA